TTTTTTGTTGTAACTTGAATATATAATTATACATTAAACATGCATTTTTAAAATTTCCAACACGTACTGTTTTAATTGATACCGGTATATATTATGCTTTGTTTTTCTTTCGTTCTCATAAACGTCATACATATGAGAAAAAGTGAGCTCAATTCTACTGTGTAACACCGAACAAAATTTGACTCGCGCGTTGTAATTACAATCGTGAATATTTTTCAATTTAGTCAAATGAAATAATCAAGTTTGTTAATGAGTTCTCTTTCTGACTTTCTTGTTGTAGCTGAAAAAATGTAGGAAACAATGTGCGTCGAGAGAATTATTGNGAAAATACGCGCGTTTAGTGTGACACATACTATTTGCATCTTTAACCTTTGTATCATGTGACTCCAGCTATCTCTATTGAATAAAACTGGATTTCATCCGTGTTTCGCNGCAGTAATTCTCAAGACCGTTTTGTCGAAACATCTAAACATGTTCAAAAATTTCTTGGTTGTTTTTATTTTTGTGTGTTATTATTGTAAATACACATTAACANTTAGTNTAGGTGATACTGTAAAATCACTAGGCACAAACTTATCTCCTAAAAGCGACACGAGTAAACCGTCATTAATATCTGTAAATTCCAATCCAGAAAATATTAGTGACATCGCAGGTAANGTTTTATATTATTTTTTATTTTTAAGATTAAAATAAAAAATGGTTAAAAATTTCGTAAAACTTGTGGTTTGTTTTATTATGACATTGTTTATTCTCGCCTTTTTCCATTTTTTGTTAATGTACGATAATATAAACGTAGCTCGTGAGTTTTCATAAATTAGNACGCGCAGATTCAACTTTCTTTGTAACTCGTCGTGATTTATTTGCTCTCTCTAACTGGACATTTTACATAAATGAAAAAAGTCTGCGAGAGATAGATATGTGAAATATTTTAAATTAAAATTTCTTTTTTTTTAGTACGTATTATATTTGTGACGTTTATAAATTACGTTATATCAATTTTTTTCTATAGAGTCGCTCGGCGAAAAACATGTGGTTAACATATACGGACATAATATTTACTACATTGGTCAGCAAATAGTTTACTCTTGCAACGAAATCAATCGATCATCAAATAGTGAACGTGATAATGATGATAATAATAAATCTAATAAGAATAACTGTGACAACAAAGGTATAAAATTATTACCAGAGGGTTACCGCATTACTCCTGGAATTGGTGCGCACAAGCTTCATTTGCAACGTGNGACATGGAACAACGCTCGTAAGACTTGTATCAGCGAAGGAGGTAAAAATAAGAAAAATAATTCTTGACGCCACATATTGATCATTAATGTATCTGCATAAGTGACTCGAAATGGCNCAATAAGCTTGATGATAATAGTCTTTGAATGTGGAATAGAATTTTTAATATATTTTATGAACGGTCAGGTCAGTTGGCGACTATCACTTCCGAGTCCGAAAGGAAGCTTTTTGTGCGAATGCTGCAAGAAACTAACAGACAAGGTCNGGTCCAAGCTTGGCTTGGCGTTCATGAACTTTTTGGAGGCGGTGATTGGGTTACTGTCAATGGCGATCCCTTTGTTACAACAGAGTATGCTAAATGGGCAACAACGGCAAATTTTGTTTGGGGCAATCAACCTGATAATTTAGGTGGCCACCAAGATTGCATGTCGATCATATCTGGAGAAGCGGGTGCTCTGGACGACNNAANCTGCAACNNNTTGAACATTTTNTTCTGCAAGATTACTGCGTAATATTCCGCATATGTGTGTAAAACTAAAAACGTGTGTGAATAGTTCTTCTCCTAATTAAAATAATAATAAGTATTAAGGAGTGTAATGANTATAAGGAGTATTTTGGACAAAGGAAAANATTTGAAAGAAAAACAAATTATTTTATTATTTGTTGTACAGATGGAATATAAATGTATCCATTAAAGATGCATTAAAACCCAATNTTTCATATACTGTCTTAATTNATATTATTATACTTTGTTTTCTTTTCGCTTAAATATCATGCACAAAATAAAGGATGAAATTACTCATAACGTATAACATGCAAAAATCGAATGAAAACAAATCAGTTTTCTTTCGACTTCGTGTTGTAACAATAACTANGGAAGAAATTGCATCAAATTACTGTGAGAATAGAATTTTATTCACGCGACAGTCAATATGTTGGACTAATTCTATTGTGGTTCAAAATAGTGTCTCTACTTGAAATATGATTTATGCGGTTCTTGAAAACAACATCATTGTAATATTGTACACAATTTTTTTTTAATATTTCATACACGATTAAGTCATTTGGCAATTATCAATTCCGATTTCGAAGAGAATCTTCTTTTGCAAATGCTAAACGAAAAAGAAGTACTTTATGCTTGGATTGGAGCTCATGATCATTTCGAAGAAGATGATTGGGTCACTGTTAATGGCGAGACTTTAAAAAATTCAAGATACAGTAATTGGAGAAATAATGAATCTAATAATCTTGGCGGCGAGCAACACTGTACAGTTCTTGTTAAATTGGATGATATAGACGATTATGTTTGCACTGAATTGCAATATTTCTTTTGCGAGATTTCTATATAGGTAATATTGTGCAATGGCATATGTGCAAATAAATGAATAATTCTTACTAAAGAAAGTAANGTTACCAAAATAAAAAAAACTGAAANAGNAAAAAAGCTGAAAATTAATATTTTCTAACGTATATATTCTTAACTATGAAATACAATATTTATATATATTTTTTTAATCATGTGTTTTTAATCAGTCAAATCTGCGAACGCAGATTTTCCTGAAATACAACAACNCCGGATTTTGTTGCCGGATCAAAGAGATTTACTAGAGATTCTCTTATATATCCGATGAAAGCAGATTGCCAGCAAAAATATGTATATAATACATGTATATAATACACAAGAAATTCTGCTCGAAATCTGTCGTCAACTTGCTATCAAGTTTTTGTCGTCAGACTTTGATTACAAAACATGAGGATAATGCAGACAAAGGTGCAAGCGATTTTGATGCTTAATTCTCTAATCGAAGTAATTTTTAAAAAAAAGGTAAAAAATGGCGCCAAGTACATGCGCAACTCGTATCTCTAGAGAAAGTATTACTATCAAAATCTTATTCTACAAGATCTATTATACAAAAGAAATGATATCAATAAGTTACGCCAAGTAAAATCTTTTATACATGGTTATATTTCGCGTATAAGAGGCACGTGGTACCTCGCGCAGCGCTCACGCACTTCGTTTTGCGCATATACTTGGCGCGAGGCGCTACCGTGCCTCGTGATCTGTTGATATAAGAGCTTGCTGGGCTATTGAAATCTTAATTTTCGTAACATTTGACCTGGTTATCTTACCGCGNAAAATACAGACTTCGACTGTTTCTTGCAGCAGTACATCGCACAACTGTTGAGTAAAAACATCGAAANATGTTTAAGTATTTTTTAATCGTTTTTGTCTTTTGGTGTCAATGTCGAGAATATGCATCTGCACGATATAAAGGAGTTGCACTTGAGACATCTGCAAACAATGTATTTGAGGAACACGCATCTTCTCAAACCAACAAGACTATCTTATCGTTATCTCAAATTTCCGCGACNCTCAATAGTAGTGAGATTGCAGGTAATTTTTGTTTAATAATATTTTTTAAAAATAGAATAAAAAATACATCACAAGTAAAATTTCTGTAAACTTCTTGTAATTTTATTTATTCGGTTTNTTGTGCGTCTTGTTAAATACATATATAATTGTTACTTTATACATNTTCGGAGATGTTAGGTGTATATTGAAACAANGGTTTTAATAAATACTGCTCGTTAAGTTTTATCAGTGATCAATTATTGCAANTACGTTGAAATTCAGATTCCTCGTGATTTCTTTGCTTTTTTAGATTGGACTTACATAACAACTTGATATGAGGAATATTTTTCGNTGCTGTTTTTTCCCGGTTTGCATATTTCGTAGAATTTCAAANTAAAGTTATAGTCGATTGCTTTTTCTCAGGAGAGATGAGAAGAAAACCCAATACTGCAACGAACGGACGTACTACCTATAACGTCGAANTCGGTCAACAAACATTTTATGTATTTNGCGAACAGGAATTCAAGCGATTNTTNTCGGATATAAGACGTTACGATAATAACAATAATAACAACAATACTAAACTAATACCACAAGGTTATGTTTTTACACCTGGNATTGGTGCACACAAGCTTCACTTTCGCAGTATGTCATGGGAGAAGGCTCGTCAGGCTTGTATACGGGAAGGAGGTACTAAAATAATTCACAAGACGCTACATATTGATTATTAATATGTATTGATGAGACGTGTTATTTATATGTAACATAAGTTTGATAGCGTCCGATCGGTAATATATCTAATGCGACTATCGATCATAATGTGTTTTTTTTTTTTTTAATTTTGTAAACTAGGTCATCTGGCAATTATTAANTTTGAGTCCGAAGAGGAACTTCTTTTGCAAATGCTACAAGAAAAAGGCGTGCCTTTGGCTTGGATAGGATTTGTTTTTGAAGACGGTGATTGGATCACCGTCAATGGCGATTCCTTAGAAAGTATAGGATACACCAAATGGACAACCGCGTATTCGAATCAACCTAATTGTGGATTTCTCAGAAAAGAGTATGGTGTGCAAGACAGTCCATGTTTCTTCACCCATTCGTTTTTTTGCGAGATTCCTGTGTGAAATTTTTCATTAGCGCGTACGTAAATACGTGAGAATAGGTCTTACTATGTGAAATAATAGTGAGCGATGAGAGTTTTCAGAGACAAAAATTGAAGAAAATTATTTCAAATAGGAGTGAATGTAAAAAGAAACATCTATTTCTTTTTTCGCAACTGACACAAAATGTTCACGTATTTTCTCATATTCACTGGTTAGAAAAAGACTATAAATCTTGGATCATTTGTCATAAGGACTCTTGTTCCAGAAAACGCATTGAAATATAGGAGCAATATTATTATATTATTTTTCTTTTGTACGAGATTTCTATGTAAATTTCACACTGTGATTTTGCTTAAAAGAAGTTATAGCAAAGGGAAGAAACCCCAAAGAAAAACAACTACAAAACAATATCACCGATATTTTTCCTTGTGTTCGTATATTTATTGTTTACTTTATCACGCAATAATAAATATGTTTGTTTTGTGTTATTTAATTCGAATGCTGCTTACATTTTATATTAATTTACACGTTAATAATATATTTTGCACATTCAGTATGTAGTCCTCAAAGTCCTGTTTCTTGATTTATTATATTTTATTTGATTTAAAATGTTGTCTCTATATACTCGAAACATAAATTGAGCGTTCTTATTCCGAGAAGTGGAATAAACAATCTGTACCGTGACAGTATAGTTTACTTCTTTTGCAAGATTCCTATGTATTATAGTGCAACAAATCATATATATAATAAGTGAATAAATTCTACTACAAAGAAACAATGTATAGTGAATCATGTTAACTAAATGCAAAGAGAAATGAAGGAAATAGACTTTTGATTCTACTGTTGTTTCCTCTTATATACCACATACAGTGGTCAATTATGCGATAAGATATGTGCGCGGGTTTTTACGTGCATACGTTGTTTAACTTTTATATTGAGAGTGTCTCAATGGTTAGGTTATCTTAGTGTCAAACGCATAAAATGCAGATTTCAACAGTTATCTGAAGCATTTACTTCACGAAACTGTTTAGTGGAAACATCTAACGATGTTCAAATATCTTTTGGTGGTTTTTGTTTTTTGGTGTCAAATTCACGAATATGCAGCTGATCAAACTGAACAACATAATCCTGGACGGGGTGACACGACTAAACTCTTATTGTTGCCACAAAATAACGATACAGAGATTTTCGATGAGAAAGAGAATGCAGGTAACTTTTCTCTCTAATGTTACGTCATGTTTATTTTGAAATTTCTTATTAAAAACAAACATACAGAAAAATAAATACAACTCTTAGTGATTACTTTTTATTGTAAGCATGTTTGGTGTTGTTTTATCTTGTTAAGTACATTATATGATTGTTGTTATATCATAACGGTATACGATAGTTATATGTTTTCGTCTTTACCTTTTTATCTTACATTCTCAAAGACGTTATGTGTATTTTGAAACAGTGTTTTTTTAAATAAATACTGCTTAAATTTTTTACCAATTGTCACAAGCTCTATCAATTCGTAACTCTTGTATTCTTCGTGATTTATTTGATTTCTCAAAGTGAATGTATTTACATAGATGGGAAAAAAGTTGTCTTAAGAAATTAGCATGAGAAATATGTTCTTCAATAGTATTTTTTTGCATTGTATATTTTGTAACATTTTAAAATAAAGTTACATCGTTTTTCCTCAGAGAAAAACATGACAAGAAAATCCGAGGTCACCATGAACGGACATATGAACTATCATGTCGACATCGACAAACTAATATTTTATATATACGGCGAAGACCAAGTCAAGCAATTATTGTCAAATATTATGAGTAATGACGAGAATGGTGCTTTTACTATCAATCTAACCACCACCAACAAAAATAATTATAATTTTAATAAACAAATCCCGGAGGATTATACTATCACACGAGGCATTGGCGCGCACAAGTTTCATCTTAACAAAATGAATTGGAACAAAGCTCGTCGGACTTGTATTCAAGAAGGAGGTAAAGAATATATATATATATATAATTCATGTGACACTACTACTATAGTAATTGTTAATATATACTGATTAGCACATGTTACATGTTTTTGCATAATTAATTGAAAAGAACACAATTAACTCGGTGATAATGACATCATTGTGTAATATACGTACAGAATTTTTTCTAATATTTTATACACTATTAGGTCATTTGGCAGTTATTAATTCCGATTTCGAAGAGGATCTTCTTTTGAAAATGCTAAACGAAAAAGATATAAACTGGGCTTGGATTGGAGCTCATGATTTGTTTGAAGAAGGTGATTGGGTTACTGTTACTGGCGAGTCCTTAGAAAGTGCAGGATATAGTAAATGGACAACCGTGTTCCCAACCAAAGAACCTAATAATTATAACAACAACCAAAACTGCGCGACTCTTGTTAAATGGGGTGGTATGGACGATTATTTTTGCAGTGAATTGCGATTTTTCTTTTGCGAGATTCCTGTATAAGTAATATTGTGCAATGGCACATATGCAAATAAATGAATAATTTTTACTAAAAAAAGTACAAGTAATGTTAACAAAATAGAAAAACTGAACGAAGAAAAAAGATGAAAAGTATCATTTTCTAATGTATATATTCTGCTCTACTATGAAATAAAATATTCTTATATTTTCTTTTGATCATATGTTTTTAATCAGTCAAATTTGCGAACGCAGATTTTGGTGAAATACTCGCATCAATCTTTTTGTCGTGGAAAGATCAAAGATTTGCTGGAGATTCTCTTATATATATCCGATGAAAGCAGATTGCCAGCAACAATATGTATATGTAAGAAGAGACTTTGCTCGCAACTTGCCGTCAACTTTTTTAGTTTAAATTTTAACTTTATAGTCGAAGTATATCTCGATAGTCAGGTTATCTTAGTGTACAATTCTGTGAATTCCTTACGTGATTACTTGTTATTGCAACAGGAGTTTGGGAATATCCCAAAGAAAAAGGACTTCGAAAAAATACCATCGAAGAATAACCACATATTTTTCCTTGTGTATATACTGTTCTTTTACGCGAGAAGAAATATGCATGTTTTGTATACATTAATTAATTCAGAGTTTTCATACTATATGATTCGATATTATGCTACGAAGTGTTTAAACTATAGACCGAAGAAACATTGCATGAGTAAATTAAAAATGTGACCCGGTGTATACAATTTATCTTCTTTTGTATTCATAAAATACAGACTTCAACTGTTTTCTGTGGTATTACTTCACAAAATTATTCATTAGAAACATTGAAAGACGTTGAAGCATCTCTCGTAGTCGCGTTCTTATCTTTTTATGTTAATTTCAAAGATATACATTTTCGGTAAAATACATTTTAAAAACATGCAGTTACCGAGGATGATGACAATTCAAATTTTAACGTCATCTCAAATTTCCAATGGAAAAAAGTAGCAGTGAAGTTAACGTTTTTAACATTATCTTTTAGTACTAAATTATGTAAAGTTTTTTTTTTTATTTTTGTTTCTGATCTTTTTGTCTAATATGATGATATTATTGTCTCGAATTCTCGAATACATTTTGTGTGTGTATTTAAACTGTTTTTTTTTTTTTTTTTTAAGATAACATTGCTTGTTGAGTTTGTTCATTCTGGTTTTATAAATGTCAAAAGCGTAAGGAAGATTTGTATATGTATACATATTAATCGCGGTCTAACACTGAGACCGCAATCTGCTTCGATTCTCCGTTGTTCCTCAACAATATTAAGGGATCCTATTGAGACATCGACTTAACTATATGACTGTCGACCGAAACGCAGCGATACCGTACGGTTAGATTAGCAAATATGCATGCATATATACATATATACACATATATATATATATATATGTATACATTGTATATGCATATATACATATATCGTTTGAATAGCGCGAGTATTATAGAGAGTAAGGGACGACGGAAAGCGTCGCGCGCTATATTGTACAGTCATGAATACTATTCAGTTCAGTCCAATGGGGTAATCGGGTTTGCGAATGAAGACGAATGAGCTCTCTTCCGGCTTCGTTGTTGCAGCGACAGCTGGAGATGAAGGAGCGTCACAGGCGAATGAACTGTGAGATGAAGTTTTATTCCACTGTCAATAGAACCATCATTTTGTAATTTCGTATATTTTATATTTTTTCGAATATTTTTTGTCATCGAAGGAGAGAATGATGTATTGTCTCCGCTTTCGAGACATAAAAAATAGGACAGAAACGATATTGACCAATATAGCTGTAAAATGTGCGTTAGTCATACTTGGTTTAACGATTTAACGAAGTCATTAGCTTCGGATCACATACACAGAGGATGTCTGAAGCTTTTTAACATAACCAAAGTGTGAAAAAAAATTTCAGACATCTTGTATATTATTTTGCGCGTTTCACCTCTTACTCTAAAATAAGTGTGACGGAAGTTTCAATTGAGTTTTTGTGGACTTTTTAATTTTGTTGATATTAATACGCGCAAATCTGATACGTATTAGTGCCAAACTGTTCAGGTATAAGCCTTTTATTATAAACATTGAGCGAACGGTTGGAAGCAAGTTACTGTGCGCACCCGATTGGTTACGCGAGATGTGCGTTGTATTGAATTTTTCCAGCGTGTTAAATGCGTCGATACGCATTAATTTGTTTGTTCTCCGCTTCATCGCATCGAAACGATTTCACACTTAATTCAGTTTCAGTTTTTTTTTTTTTTGCTTGTGATACGAGACGGATTATCCGAATGTGCATAAAAGTGCCACGGACCAGTTGTCTCGTGACATTGTCTGATGCTTGGCCTATATCTGGTATCAAGTGCGTACAAGCTTCATTTCAATCAACTCTCGCGGAACGACGCTCGCAAGAGTTTGTCTTCAGGAAGGAGATACGTAAACAAAAAGAACATTAATGAGATAACCAGGCGTAAGAGATAACTAGCGCGACGAGATCATCGACAAAACATGGGTTTTACTATATCTCATGATTAGGTCAATTGGCGATTATTAATTCCAAGTACGGAGGAGATTCTTCTTCTAGACACGCGATGAAAAACGAAAACGTGGACGTTGCTTGGCTTACAAGCACTTCACGATTTATATCAAGAAGGCGATTGGAATACCGTCAACGATATTCCGTTAGAAGTTATAAGATATTCTTAGATGGATGAGCAACGAAGAACCTAATAATGACGGCGCCGGCCAAAAAATTGCGATACTCTAAGATTAAATGATACGGACGACATGGAACGCGACTTAACTTCGTCTTTTTTTTTTGCGAGATTTCTGTTTAACATTGCGCACTAGCACATTTTTTTCGACGAACGAAGAGGATTTACATTATTTTTTCACAAGTTTGCTTTTGCGAATATCGATGTTGTTGGTGCCAACATGTTGCTGCGATTAGTAGCTTATTTTCCCACCCGCTTCTGCGAAAGCGTTGGGAGCTTAAACCGTTTTGCGGAAATCCGCTTGTGCAAAACTCAACTCACGCGAATGTGTAGGAGAGGAATCGAGTAGCGCAACTCGAGTAGCCCGAGTATCATCGCGGCTATGATCAGCTTGGATGTGCTTCGATGAAATTCAATAAAAAAATCCGACTTAGATAATGCGATAGCAAATGATCCGGCTGTATAGCCGGAGCGACATCATTTTCGGTTGCCATTGGATTGCGAATGATTTATCTTTTAATGAAACGTGTATATATTCGGGACTATTTGGAGTTTGCGATGTGAATCCACAACTCCGAAAAAATTTGATTCAATTTTTATGATACGGAAAATCACATTGCCGTTTCAGAAATTCAATTAAGTGTTCGATTTGCTAATCGGGAACGGGAAACCTATATGTATATATATATATATCCCCGACGTTTTCACCAACTGATTTTCTGGGAAAATGCTTGCGACGCAGCGGCTCTGTCTACGACAGGCACTTCTTGTTCGACTGCCGACTCCCTATTTTCGCGATTCGGGTCGCCGTCGTCATCGTTGTCGTCGTGTCGGCATATTACTCAGCCACTTCGCTTTTGTTACGACAGCGGCGGCAGCGGGGTCGAATCACGGCGGCTGCTCTCGCGAAGAACTCGGATGCATAATGTCGAGCCGGGAGCGCTACGAGGATTTTCAGCAAATTTGAAGAGGCGCATCGATATTCGCTCGCGCACCGCGAAGCGAAAATACGCGCCGCGCTGCTGAATTCATGCAAATTCGCGATAAAAAGTGATTTATTAACGGACTGAAAATCTTCCGTTTCTATGGACCTCGGTCTGTACAGCTTCATCCGGGAGAAGTGCTCTTTCATCGGTATAAGCGTGAATAAATAATGTTCACGACGCGATATATACGCGCGTGCTTGGCTGAGTGATTTAAGATGCACATACAAGAAAGAGAAAGAGAGAGAGAGAGAGTGTGTGTGTATGTGAGCGAGTGAGCGAGTGCCCTGAAAACGTCTTACATTAAAAACAGCGTCATGCTGTGGCCATGTATATCCCGACTGGTATTCCGTCGCTGCCTATTCGTGCTCGGAAAACTGGAGAAGATCATTGAGTTCTCAAGTACAACGGACGGTGGCGGAAGCCAAGGAAGAGCAGGTTCGAAATAACGATTTTAAGCGCGAGCCTCGATAACGACGTCACGCTATCGGGCGGTCTCTCCGTCTCATCCGCTTCTTCTTCCTTTTTTCTTTCTCCGAGCCACCATTCTATCATTTTTATCGCGTTCCTTTGTCTCCATTTAAGTCGGGAAGTTTATTTATCCGGCGTCTACGCCAAGAAGACGCGGCATTACTCGTCTCCGCGCTGGTATACGTTCTTCTTCTCTCGCCTGCGACTGTTGTTGTTCCCCGAACTGCCGCTTCTCGTGGTAATCTTAGCGCACACTTAATTGGACATCGCTGAGAGACTGAGTACAGATAGGTGCTTGTCGCAAAGTGCTGAGTTTGCCGGCAGGCCTGGTCTACAACGTCACTAGCCATTTTCCCCCGGCTTGGGTAACTTCAATATGGTGCACTTCGAGGTCTGAGAGGAATCGACGCGAGCCGATATTGATATTCGTCAACTCGTCTCTATGTACGCGCGGAAATTATTATCGTTGCGACGAGAATCTTTATTCTAATTTCGTTCGTCGAAACACCAAACACAGCCGACAAGCAAAAAAGATAACGAAATTACATTTTATCTTTGAATAAACGCGGTACCATTATTTTCATGTAACTATATATACATACAGTACATATACATATATATATATATATGTGAAATAAAAAAATCTATTGCGCGCAAGAAAAATTGAATATTGAAAAATATTTTAATATCAAAAACAAACAGAATTATTCACTTTTATATTATATCAAAGAGAATAAAAATCAAGTTATTTACTTTTTACACAAAACAATATAATACATATTTTATAATAATAAGAATTTCTACATCTAATTATTTTGCATATATAAATAATTTTGGTTTTGTTCTCTGCATATAAAATGTTTATGTTAAATTTTTTTATTATTATTATATAGAAAATTTATTAATGTTATATATTATTTATCATATATAATGTTATATAGTTTCTTCTACGTGCAATTATTTTCCGAGCATATATATATATATATATATACATGTAAATCATTGATTACGCGTATTAGTTTCCGGACTGGTACGAATAGGAAACATAACGTCCCCACGTAACGCACCGCGCGTCACAGTGCGTGTCGAAGAGTCGTCTTCGTCTACGCTCGGCGGTTTTAATCGACGACGAGGGAAGCTTCCGTGAAGGTGAAACTTCGAAGAAGGGGACCAAGCGAAACGACGACGACGACGACGACGACGACGACGACTACTCCCTTTCGCGTTGCTTCGAACCAGTCGCGCGCTTAGAGCCAAACGCAGTCCGCGTCGAGCCGCTTCCACAGTCGCTTCCGCTCCTCCTTCAAGTCCGTTGCTCGCGAATTCCCGGTGAAAAGTTTTGTTCAAAGTTTCGCGTTGCTGTGCCTCATGTCGGCCAGATGCTAATTACTGCAGACTGACTAATATATATATATATAACGGGAGCTATGTTGGTGATCAGCGCGTTGAAACAGGTCGCGAACGCTGCCACTAATGCGGTCCATTCGGCCACCGGTAACGTTACCGGACACAGTAATTCCGGTGAGTCGATCTGACAGTTTCCTTTTTTTCGGAGAGAACTTGTATAATTTGCCTCAACTATCCTTCCTCAATTTATTCATCGTTCCCGAGATGCTCAGCGTCCTCGATTTCGCCAAGATTTTCCTGCAGTTTCTTCGACGTTTCTCAATACTCTTGTTTCTCAATAGTTTTTTTTTTTTTTTTTTTTTAACACGCGATATTTCTTAATCACGCGATAATATAATAAAGATTGCTCGACATATCGTGCAGCGAGAGAAATCCGGATTATTTGCAACAACAAGAAGTCAAGAAATTGAAGTCAAGATTCCACCACGACGAATATAAGCAGCTGCGTACGTTTCAATGTGTCGACGATGATGATAATAACGACGATACGGTAATCTCGACGATGTAGAAAATATATCATCCGCTAGTTTTCGTCGCTCCGACACGATAAAAAGCTCTCGCGTTTTCCATTTGCAACGGTATATACCGGCCACGCAGGTGAAACGACGTATTGCGTTCTCTCTCGTCGCGTCCCTCTCTCTCTCTCTCTCTCCTCTCCCTCTCTCTCTCCCTTCCTCGCTTCTAAATCTCGCTGTTTCTCTCCGACCGCGTTGCTACTTATTTTTCAGCTTTTCGCTCGTGCACGGGAAAGCATCCGCGCGCTATGCCCGCACATATATACACAGTTGTATATTCCGCGCAAGAAATCCCGCTTGCGCAAAATGTAAAAGGTTACACGGGAGGCGCGCGCGAGCACGACCGACCTCCATCGGTTTCATAAGAACGGCACTACGGCGGCGAGTAACTTTCTTGCCACGCCTAATGTCAAGATCGCAACGTCAATCGCATGTAGATCAGTTTTGCATCGGTGTCTCGAGGAGAAGGTGTCTCGCATGCGGAGAGAAAAACGCGCTTCTTAAAACATTAAGTCTCAAAAAAAAAAAAAAAAATCCGCGTCTTCGAAAGTTTCGAGTCCGCGCAAGTTCCTCGTCAGCTTTCAACATCGCCGAGAATTGTGATGAGAAAGTATCGGAAGCGACGATCGAAACTTGTCAAGTTGGAAAACATTTGAGGATAAGTTCTTCTTCTTTATAAATATATAAAAGAGTATCGCATTCAGAGATGCCTCTATTTAAAAAAAAAAAAAATGTTAATTGTTTTATGCTCGAAACACATTTCTACGAACAATTGTATTCTGCGAATCGATATTCCGCGTCTTGTCTATCAGGTATTATTTTCCATGTATCAAAAGTCGATTAAGAGTGTAGCTAGACAAATGCCAATTACTTGCGCGCACACTCGCTGCGCGAGGCATAATGTAGCCATTATAGGTGACATTCACCGGCCGCATAGACGTCGACACGTCGGGTCTTTAATGGCAACGCGGTCATTGTGTATTGTATTATCGACACACGAGTGTGCTTTTATGTGTGTATGTGTGTGTGTGTGTCTTTCTTTCTTCCTCTCTCTCTCTTTCCTTTTTTTAAATGACGAAGAAAATACACAAAGAAATGAGAGACCATAAATAAATAATAAATTCAACGAGAGAAAAGCAGATCCCGACAGAACAGAAAGAATTACAAAGTGAAAATTAACAAGTTTTATTTTTTTTTGTAATTATATTTTGTAATTATTTCTCGTAATTAGGTTCTTTTTTGTAATTACTGCGCAACCCACGTTGATTGCGAATAAAGCAAGCAATTAGTCGCAATTAAATTTGTACATTTATTAACGTGTATGTGTGTGTGCGTGGGTGTGTGATTTTTTTTTAGCAAAACAAATGTATTTATTATTATCTTCTAACTGTTATAATAAACGTTAATTTGAAGCTGATTTGTTTTCGAGAAAATTTGGATATATATATTAAAAAACACGATTCTCTTTCCCGGTAAACTGTCGAAGTCGAAACTGCAATTTGCCGCTTATTTTAATGATTAATTTTTATCCCGTGTTTGTTATTTAACATCGGTTAGTCCGCGATCGGGTTTGTCACTATGAGCGCCGACCGACCGACCGACCGACCACGGAACACTCGGATCGAGAAACCGAGTGAGTGGGATGTAACATCGTTCGATGACCTCGCGAGCGAGAGGCGAATCGCTCTTCTGATGTTTTCACCAATACCTTAGAAAGTTTCTCGACAACGCTCGCGGGGAAGGCTTGTGTGTTAGCCTTGAAAATCGCTCGCTGCGATATATGCATATTATTTGTCCCATCTTTCGGAATGGGATCGTCTTAACGATCGAGCCTGGTTCGAGTTAGTTACTCCCGTAGTCACGCCGCTAGTCATTTGCGCGCGATTCGTCTCGTTACGGATAGCTGATTTAAAAAAAAAAAAAAAAACATATTTCTCAACTCAAAAGCAGATTTTGAATATCGCAAAGTTATTTTGTAATCAAAATGCAAATTTTCACGCATGCTAAGCTCAGCGGAAATACTCGATTTTTTTGGCAAAAGAATATTTACGCTCATAAATTTTAATATAACGTAGACACGCGCGTAATTAGATGCACCGTGCGGTAATGCGTGCGCATTAATAATAGAAAAAAAAAAAAAGAAAGATTATATTTTCGGAAGATGATAATGATAATCGGATTATTTATTCTCAGAAGAGACGCTCACGTCCTTATACAACTCGTATTTTTCTACCGTTTCACTCCACTTTCCGCGATCGCCTCACTGTCCCGGGTGCTCACTGGACTATTACGTACTTTCTACTTGCTCGTTACAGATAATCAGTGGCGAACAACCTGCCATCCGCAATGTAAGCGATTTGCTGAAGCGCATTCACGATCGTCGAGATCGCGTTTAACGTCATATTCGCAATTTGCGCGATGAGCGCGTTGTATTATTATTTTTTATTATTTTTTTTTTTTAATTAATGCGTCAATTCAGGCGTTTCGATATCTCTCGAAATATTCTGAGAAACCTACGATGGATGTGGAAATGCAAGTCTTCTCGAAATAAATACGAAGGAATAAACATGTGTGTGAGAAAAATTTGAACATTTCTATTATTCCGAGAATTTCCGCGTCTTTCCGCGGACTCGGACGGTCGCTGATTTCTTCCGAGAACGCGATCGTAATTAATGTTTTTCACGCGATAGCAATGATACAAGTGGCAAAAGTTCACATTCCGTTATCTAACCGCGTCTTCCTCCCCCTCCCCTCCCCCCCCCCGATGGACCACAAAACCGAGACGCGCGTCGCGATTTTGCAGTTTCACATTCGTATGCCGCACGAGTTCGATACGTAACGGATATCACAACTTCTCTGCGCGATGTTGCGATCTCTTCTGCTTCTCTCGGAAATTGTCCTGATACTCGCGGCGAGCATCTCGTCCGAGGAGAAGGAAACACATGGGAAACCGATCTGCCGTGAGGCGAACGGCTACAACATCTGCCATTACGAAGGTGCGCTCGTCGAAGTTACGCAGCGTCGTTACGAAGACCGATTGGAAATCTACGACCTGAATCTCGCGGAGATTCGGGAGAACGCCTTCAAGAACGTGACCGCGACGCACTTGTATCTGAACCAAGGCAATCGGATATCTCTGCTGAGAAGTGGCTCCTTCAACGGTTTGCCGAACTTGGAGCGTCTCCACTTGGACAGCAACCAGCTGCGCACGTTGTCGGCGAACTTGTTCGCGAAATTGGAACACTTGGAGTCGTTGTCGATGGTGTTCAACACGATCGATTCGATACCGAAGGACTCGTTCGCCGGTTTGTCGAGTCTTACGTGGCTCTACTTAGGTCACAACGTTATCGCGGCGATCGAGGCGGAATCTTTCTCGAATCTCAATCCCGGACTGCTGTACCTGTGGCTCAATGACAATCAAATTGCCCGCGTGGCGCCGGCCTCGTTCGCCGGGTTAACCGAACTGAACCGTCTCCACTTGGATTACAATCAACTGGAGAATTTGTCGGACGACGCCTTTTTAGGACTTAGCAAGCTGGAAGATCTGTTCTTGAATAACAATCGTATAACGAGCATCTCCAGACGGCTGTTCCGCGATCTGGCCGAACTGAAGAGACTCCACCTCGAGAAGAACGAGATCAGCGCTCTCGAGCCGGAAACGTTTCGGGATCTGTCTCAGCTGGAGCAACTGCGATTGGACGGAAACAAACTGTCCCACATTGTGGCCGACACCTTTGCGGGACTCGCCAAGCTGGAAGTTCTCAAACTGGCCGATAACAACATCCGCACGATGGATAAGAACGCATTGGCCGGTCTCGTTGAGTTGCGAAAAGTCTACTTCGACGGAAATAACGTGTCCGCGACGGATCTGTCTTCCGTCGAGAAACCTAACCATCGCTCTGTATTTATATTCTATAATTAAAAATATAATTAATTAATTAAGATCGTCATTTTATATTATACATGTAGATCGTTACAAGTTACGTTCAATTAAACACGATGTTTTTTACATGTCTTTGTCAAAAATCTCGCAATCAGATTAAATACCACGTTTAAGCACCAACGTCGATCTGAATCTCTGAAGCGACGGTTTTTCAGAGTGCACTTTCAATACGCACAAAGAATTTAATCTTATTAAAGACACGAAAGAAGGGAGGAAAAAAAAGTTCAAAAAAAAAGAGGAGAAACAGAAAATTGTGCGCCGAGAGGTACATTTTTCATCCGACGTCATGTATATTTGTAGTGCCGCTTTTACATACATACATACATACATATGTATGTATATGTGAATCAATACGGACAGTAAGACTCAATATCCCGACGTCGCTATTTCAGACGCGACGTTTACCTTATGTCTCTTCCCTTTTTTTTTTTCTCTCTTCCCGCTTTATTGAATTTCCTTGTGGAAGTTGGAATACTCTTTTTCGGGGGTTGGATCTCGGGGAAAAAGAGAGCGTCTAGCCCGCGGCGGATTTTGTTATCCTCTTTTCACGGGAGCCTTGTGTGTCCCGGCGCGAGACTTTCATTACCGAGATGTCCTCCTTGAGATTTTCCACTGACGCTTCTTGGAAAGGCTTTTCTTATAAATCTCCGCGTAACGTGTACACATATATATGTATGTTTATCGTGTGAGCTGAAAAATTGCGCGAGAAAAACTCCGAGAAATCACTGCGAGATTGATAGCGATTTAAAGGGGAAGTTCTCTCGTTTCGACCGACCTCGATCCGCTCACACATCTCTCTCTTGCTCCACTTTTTTTTTTTTTTTTTTCCCTCACTCTCTTGCGCAGCACAAACGCAAAAGAAACATGATTTGAGAAACAAATAAAATACAAAATTTTTGCGCGACATAATTGTGTGTGGGTAAGTTTATTTTTTATTATTTTTTTATTATTTTTTTTTTATACATGTAGATTCTACCACGCGATCGTGTGTAGTTTCTCATTTGCTTTTCTCGCGCAAAGAAAAACGAGCGGAAAACCATCCGAATATTTTTCCGCGGAGAAACTTTTCCTCAGTCGAGATCTTTTTCCGCGTTGCGACCGATTGCCTTCAGCAATGAAACACTCGATGAAAAAGAAACAAAAAACAAACAATACTTGAAAAGAGCAACACATTGCAAAATACAAAAGACATGTAGACGTGTCACTCGACGAGAGAGACCGAGGTATGTATGTTCACCTGCTGCATGCGGTGAAACAACAATGAAACGTATGAAGTCGTGCTTAGGAAAGCGTGCGATCACGGAATATCAGATCGTCGCGGAACTTCGAAGCTGGCTGGCTTGAAAACATTTAATTTCACACGTGCCGCCGCATCTCTACCGCGTTTCTAGATTCTAGTCTAGCTTAATCCGCACGATATATGTACAGCGTTTGATACGGTTGGTGGAAACCGCGCGGTTTATTGCGGCAGAGCCGCGCGCGCGCGCGCGCTCGCGCTCGCGCACTCGCACGCATGCACGCACGCGGATGCACACGCGACAAGCGTGCACGTGCGAACGTTGAACGGGTGCTGAAGAGGATGGCCGGAGTGGGGACGTAGGAGGTTTGAGGTCGCATTGATTTTGTCTAGACGGGGTGGAGACCTCTCCTCTCGTGGTATCGTTCTTCTCGTCCATGGTTCATGGAATGCTGTCATCCCGACGTGGTGCACTTGTCAGTCGGGATGTTTCGTTTAGTTCTGTCCGATCGCGCCGCCAAGCGAAAAGGAATGTCGTTGCCGGATCCTTTGTTCGGTGAAATTAACGGTCGATTGCGTTTAGCGAGCCCGCGTAACTGTTGACTGTATTGAAAAAACACACGTGTGTCGGTTATTTTATAATAAAATCGCCGGAAATTGCTGTTTTTTCACTTTATCAGTTTGTTTATTCACACACGATACGCGAAAATAAAAAGACGATCACTTGCGAGTTGATATTGTAAACAAAAAAAAAAATGTAGCATGTTGTCATTTAATTGTTCAAAATATACGAAAACGGTGTAATTTAATTTCCTCGTTTGTTTTTGTTTTACAGGTACACCCTCGACTCCGATAATGCCAGGCGGAACACCCGGTACACCATCCTCTAAAGCCAAGGTAAGTTGTTTCGCGTCGAGAAGATATATTGAGGCTGCCGTTGTTGAGGCTGGCGTTTTATCTAATTCCTGCAATAAAAAAAAAAAAAAAAAAAATCTTGATTAACTTTGCCGCAGGAAAAGATAATGCTGCGGACGAAAGTCGTGGTGGCTCTGTATCCTTTCCGCGCCATCGAAGGCGGCGATTTGTCTCTCGAGAAGGTAAGGATTACATAAACCATATATATATAATAAACACGTACGCAAATACAAAGTAACACACATAGTGATAATTAATATTATTTTTTATTATCTTTGTATTATAAATCACATAAATGTTATTTTTATTGATAATCTACGTACGTTGTGCAAACACAGGGTGCGGAGTACGAAGTTCTGGACGATTCCCAGGAACACTGGTGGAAAGTTAAGGACGAGAACGGGTACGCGTAATTTCTTCCCCGTGGAAAAAAATTATTTTACTAGTTTTCACAATATTTTTTTTGTTTTTTTTTTTTTTTTTTTTTACTTTTGTACAACTTACAGAGGTGACACATCTATGTTTTTTTGCTTAAATTATACACCGCGACGGCAGTAATCAACTGGCAATCGTAGAGAATAATCAGTGACGGCAAACAATAATCTTAGTGCGGTACTTTTGTGTAATCAGAGATAATTATTCGCGATAGCCGGATTGTTTACTTATGCGGTAAAATACGCGCGCCGTCGACACGTAAAGCGCAACGTTGTTGATGGTCTAAGTTGATTGGCTTGTAGCTAGCTTATACGGCGCGCATTTTTTAATTGCAGATCGATCGGCTACATCCCCAGCAACTACGTTAAAGAGAAGGAACTACTGGGACTGCAAAAATATGAGTGAGTCTGACGTATATTTTTATTATCGCGAAATCCAATATCGTCGATAGGTTTCTCGTTTCATTATTTTTCCATTTTGAAGTCTCTTATCAATCGGTTTGTTTTGTTTTGTTTTGTTTTTTTTTTTCCTACTATTTGACTTCGCGTAAAGCGACGTTTGTATACGACAAAATTAAACAAGTTGACGCTTCATTTGCTGTTGCAGGTGGTACGTAGGTGATATGTCAAGACAACGCGCAGAGTCATTGCTGAAACAAGAAGATAAGGAAGGTTGTTTCGTCGTTCGTAATTCATCGACCAAAGGGCTTTACACTCTCTCTCTTTACACGAAAGTGTGAGTTGCCGACCGACGACAATTAAGAATAGATTTTATTGTAACGCATGTTGTTCGTTTCGTGTAACTTGTCCCGGATAATCTAATGATTTCTCGTTCTGCCGTAGGCCACATCCTCACGTGAAGCATTATCATATCAAACAAAACGTCCGCAAGGAATTTTACTTGTCAGAGAAGCACTGTTGCGGATCCATTCCTGATTTGGTGAACTATCACAGACACAACAGCGGCGGTTTGGCCAGCCGACTAAAGACCAGTCCCTGCGATCGTCCCGTACCACCAACTGCCGGTCTTAGTCACGGTTCGTAAGATTCTTATTGTGTTATCTTGTTTTACTATTTGATATAAAAAAAAAAAAAACAAAATAGAAGAATATACTAAAAAAAGACTACTAGAAGTCAACGCGCTATTTAATTTGGGCTGGCTTTTTCGCAGACAAGTGGGAAATCGACCCGGCGGAATTGCATTTGTTGGAGGAGCTCGGGTCCGGCCAATTTGGAGTTGTGCGGAGAGGAAAGTGGCGCGGCTCCATTGACGTTGCCGTGAAGATGATGAAAGAGGGAACCATGTCTGAAGACGACTTTATAGAGGAAGCTAAAGTAATGACGTAAGTTTCAACCTAGTTTCTTTTACATTACGTCGAAAGTTTTGATGGACAAGTCTTTAAGGAAAACTCCTAAAATTTAATCAGATTTTTTTTTTATAATACACTTTGCTAGAATAGTTTGTTTTCTAAACAATATTTTCTCTGATAAGTCTTTGTTAATAAAACATGCGCGTATTGGAGATGCGATAGTTTTTTTTTATCTGTGTTTATATATTTTGTTTGTGTTTGTATATTCAGAAAATTGCAACATCAAAACCTAGTCCAACTGTACGGCGTCTGTAGCAAAGATAGACCAATATATATTGTTACGGAATACATGCGACATGGATCTCTTCTCAACTACCTCCGTCGTCACGAGGCCTCATTAGGCGCAAACGTCGGCCTCTTGTTAGACATGTGTATACAGGTAATGTAACCGCACTTCAGTTGAAAATAATAATGTGTACCATAATTCTGAGAGACAAAATATTACGACCGAGATTTTCTCAAAATAATGCTAATGGGTACGTTGCAGGTTTGCAAGGGAATGGCATATCTTGAGAGGCATAACTACATACATAGAGATCTTGCTGCGCGCAACTGTCTGGTGGGATCCGAAAATGTAGTAAAAGTCGCAGATTTTGGTTTAGCTAGGTAACGATTACCGCTGTGATTTCACGAAACAAATGGATCAGTTCAGTGAAATGGGATACGGGCCGTATGAAATTTAGCTGATCAAAAACAAATATCTCTAGGTACGTGCTCGATGATCAATACACCAGTAGTGGAGGCACTAAATTCCCCATTAAATGGGCGCCGCCGGAAGTGTTGAACTATACGCGCTTCAGTTCGAAGTCGGACGTGTGGGCATACGGAGTACTTATGTGGGAGGTGTTCACGTGCGGAAAGATGCCTTACGGTCGTCTAAAGAACACGGAAGTCGTTGAGCGTGTACAACGAGGAATCATTCTGGAAAGACCCAAAGCGTGCTTCAAGGAAGTATATGAGGTGAGCGTTTGTGCTCTCTTTATCTTTGATCAGAAAGTAATCTCGTGTACAGAGTGAATTCACTCGGAAATCGGGGTTTCAGGTAATGCGCAAATGTTGGGCACACTGTCCGGAAGTGCGACCGTCTTTCCGTGTTCTGAAGGAACAGCTGATCAGCGTATCTCAAGGACTGGTCAACGATTGACTCAACCTTCTGCGGTGTATGCGCCTGTCCTCACCCTCCTGTCGCTCGAGCCGATCGACGGCGAAGTCGTCGTCGCCGTCGTCGGAACGATCGTCTTCCGCAACTCTACCTTCGTCGAATCTGTCATATAACTCAGCAACGTTGCCGTCGCGCAAGAACCGCGCACCAGCCTCCCCTCCGTCTACCACGATCGGTTTTCCTCATCATTTCTCGTCGGCCGCGTGTAAATCAAAAGGAGAGGGCTCCTCGTCGCCGAATACACCCGGGCATCAAACTAGTCAAGAAAAACCATCCTCGAGCTCGACTAATAGCGTGTGTGACATTTGCAGTTCCTACGGACATCCGTGGATCGAAATATGCAAGGCGATACGAGCCACTAAAGGTAAATGAGTAAATATGTGCATGTGGTACGCGTGTGTGTGTACGTGTAATTAAGTTTACACTACTCTGTATCGCGTCTATTACACAATTAGTGAGCCGTACGGAGATACGGTTTCTAAACCCTCGTAAAAGCGTAAATGCTCATCTCCTTCCTCTATCCCTCTCCGTATATCTCTGGGATGTACGCTCTGAGATATGTTTCTGAGAGTGTTAAAATGATGTTTCTTCTGACACAATGGGATGCGTGATATTATTGTGTGTTTCACATACTATTTTTCCCATATACTTTTTAGACTTTTACTTCTGTATCGTCATATAAATACATTTATAAATAGAACAATAGTATTTATTGATGGCCTTTGTAACAAATACAAAATATTCAACTTGTGATTTCGCCTAGACATACACCGTCTTTTTTCATCATTGATTTTAACGGACAATGATATATGACTTTCAAATCGAAAACATATTGTTTCTGCTTAATAATAAACCGATTTATTAAATAAGAATTTTTTTTATCTGTCTGTCTGTGTGATGTTGTATCGATGAAATAACATGCGAAATTGAGCAAAGACGCAAGAGAAAAGAGTGAAAATCGCAAATAATTGTGTTTTATTGAAACGAATTGATCGTATACACAATTTCTCATTTGGACTCTAAACGAACAGCTAAAAGCGGTAAGTAACGTACAGTATGTGTAACGTTCAATCAATGAATTACCATCCATTGCTCTATTTCTAAAAAAAAAAAAAAAAAAAATTTGATCCTAATTATACAATCAATTAATCTAATGTTTTGCGTACAAATACAAATATTCTTAATAATACACAAAATACGTACATAAAAACTAAAACGAACTAATACAGTGACATAAACCTGAAATAACAGTCTACATGTCTGAGTTTCGAGGCTTCTCTGTGCTTTGAGTTCACTCTTTTATGAACTTTCTTATTCGGAGTGAGACTTACGTTCTCATTGATAAGGCAATAACGCAAGATTAATGACTAACGTAGAAAACATGTCAGACTCAGTGAGAGCCTATCGTCTTTTTGATTGTACATCCAGAAAAAAACTTTCTTCTGTGCGCCGGTTTGATGCAGAAAGCGGTTTTGTCGCTAAGTACTGAGTTTATGAGGACAAGTATGTAACACTGGTATCATAAATGTTAAAAAAAAAAATTATATATAAGTACGCACGCAATACTTATCTACAAGTACATAATACTTCTCTAAAAATTCTAAAATTAAATCATACTGTTCCGCCTCTGTGTTTTAAAGTTAATGTATAAAATGATAAATGCAATAGATGTTATTCACTTATGCACAGTTGTAGCAAACAGCGTTAAAAGGTGTTAAGCAATTTTGGAGTCCTTTGTTTATATAGGATTTTCCGTTTGTCTATCTTCCTGAAACAAAAGAAACAATTATAAAGAATTATTCTTTTGTTGGAAAAGAGAATTATAAATTGTTAATTTGAATTTCGAAAATTGTAAGCAACAAAAGGAAACGATTTTATTTATTTATGTTAAAAGTTTTTTAGAAGAAATTTATACACACATCGAATTGTGCTTAGAAAAAAAAAACAATGATTTTGCAAAGTTTTACGTATTATACGTACGGAACGTACGGGATACAGAAATGTTGTTACGCTTTTCTCTGTGTATCCCGACTGCACTTTGCAAGTGAATTCACCCATATCGGACCACTGGAGATCGGTTATCTGCAGATCGCCATTGGGCAGAACGGTGTGTCTCAAATGTGACGCAGGGCTGATAGTGTTGCCCGCATTATCTATCCAGAATAGATAAGGTATCGGCTGGCCTGTGACTCTGCACGGAAGTATCACCGTGCTCCGTTGAAGAGCGAATCTCCAGGAAGAGTGCAAGGTGATGGTAGGCGGGTTTTCGCTGTTGCACGCAGTGGTTCTGGTTGCTGTGGACATGATAAAGTTTTTTTCTTTTTTTTCTTATCGTTTAACGATCTCGCATCTTACAATCGCCACTGGCGAAATATGGCAAACGTTCCACTTACTGTTGACCAAAAGTACTGTTGCCGCCGATTGAGCCACCATATTTTTAGACACAGACACGCAATATTTTAGGCCTTGATCTTCAGGTCTGACGCAATCGATCACGTACGTGGAAGAAACCTGACTGACACCCTCCCACTCCGTTGATATAGTATTGCTCGCTTCTTGGGCACGTGTGATCAATTCCTGAATCTGCCGGAGCAAAAATAAACGGATCGTTAGGAAAAGTTCGCTCTTTCAGAATTATTTATTATGGATTTTTGAGTCGCGAGGGAGACTACGTAATAATACACAGCGAGAGCGAGGACCGGACCTGTCTTTCCGGTTCGTTTCCAGTTATCCAGTAAACTTGGGGAGGCGGATTACCAGCTACTTCACATTGCAATTCTACGCGGCTCCTAAACAAACATGGGATATACGATATTATATGCGTTATCATGTTACTTCCATACTATAGTCGTTACTTTTTGTATTAAAGTGTATATATCACTCACCCAATGGCGACTTCCAAGGAATCCGGCGGATTCTGCAAAATTCTGGTCCAAGTCGACATGAAGCCGTTCTGGAACAATCACGTTTTGGTACACGTGTTTCAATGGATAAATGTTAATTAAAAAATATATATATTTTAATTTTTTCTTATTTACAGCGAAGCGCGAATATGGAAAAAAAAAACATGTTTCGCTCGCAATAACAAAAACGATGCGGTCTAGACGAAATAAGAAAGAGAAAAAATTATACAAACACAGATAAAAAGTATTAGTTAGCATTTCTGACCAATAATGCAACCATAATGCGACCGTACCTTCTTTGTGCCGGTCGACTTAATATCGTCTTTCAGTCTATTCATCACGCTGGACTCGACGTTTGCCCATGTGTATGGTGTGTTCGTCAGCAATAATGCCAAAGGGCTTCCGAAGGCCACATCAGCCACGGCAACGATCGTCAAAAGACGCCCGAGGGTCGAAAGATACAATAGCATCTAAAAAAAACATTAGTTAAAAACCTTTTTTTTTTCTTCAGAAAAAAAAACCGGAAACACGTGACAAAACATGCGAACACAGGTATTGTCGATACAGCTACCGAAAACTAAGAGTTCACTTTGCGCTGGCACATAAATTATCGAATATCGAATCGTTTCACACAGTAACGACAAAAACTTTTACAGAAAAAAATTATTTCTCTTTAATTGGAATTTTTATCGCACTTCCTTCAAACTGTGACATTTTTGACCAATTTTACACTAAATCTTTTGTTTCAATAATGATAATCACCGATAACGCGTTATCGCAACTTTTTGACTCTTGACAGCGTTAAATTTAAAATTATAATAAAAAAAAAGATCAAGTTTACTTAAAATTCGTCGAAGAGCACAATATTCGATTCCTTTCCTCTTTTTTTTACAAATATTTTATTTCAAAGTTGCGATATGCAACACGTGTCCATCTTACTTTAACGTTTCTATTAGAAAATTATGTGATGTGTGAGAATTGGCTTAAAAAAAAATCACAATTTTGAAGATAACGTTTGCGAAGAAAAAAACACCGTATATACAAGATTAATTTTCTCACGTTGTGAATAAGAAGTTCGTCTTGATGTGTGTGTATCAACTAGCTGCCGAAAAAAAAGTAAACGAGTGAAAGCACGTAGAATGCCACAGATGCGTCGTGTTGCATCAGTCTTTTTGGATTAGTTCGCCTTAGCTGCTTTGAAGGTGGAGAGGGAAACGGACCGGAACACGACACGTGCGGCACGCTTCGTGATGGAGATACTTAAATTCTCATGAAAACTGTCACGTTTTCTCTAACGCGCAGTCTTAATTCAATAGTGTCCGCGAATTCAGTCCCGTGACTGAATATATTCGAAATACAATTTCGTTGTTTTTTTTTTTTTTTTTTTTTTAATCTTTCATAATCTTGAAGAAACAAAACACCGAAATAATCGTCTTTCTCAAAAAAAAAAAAAAAAATTAAAAAAAAAAATAAACATCGTGTGTAAAACTTGTGTAAAGATTTTTTTAACGATTTTTGATCTTGAGATGTACATCCGAGTATATATAACACACTTTTATTTAGATATATATATAGAAACGATCTGTGTCAATTGTTTCGAGGCCCCGCAATTCTCTACGTGAGGCTCCGCACGTAGCAGAAGCGAGAATACGATTTCTGCTTATTCTTGCATTTCTGATTTCTTTTATCTAAACGTATATAATCGAGTATGCATCGCGTGGATATATGGTTAGTCAAACTTACCGTGTGTGTGCAACGGGTGTTGTGATTTTCCGAAAACTGTTTCGTGTTCCCGAGGAAGATTCGAATGTAACGAAAAAAAGAGGGAGAAGAAGACAAGAGCCCGCAGTTTATCAGCAAGGAATCGAGGGAACCGACTGAATGGCGGTATAACAGTTATTGGTCCATTTATATATTTCGAATGTAACAGCAGGCAGTCCTTCCCTTTTCCCCGATTGGTCGTTATTAAGAGGGGGGGTAGGGCGATATAATACCACCAGCAAACAATCGAATTCATTATCTGCACGAGTCGTTTGTATCCAATTTGTTTTCACCCTCATCGAGGGTCCATCTAGGGTCGATTTTTTATCTGAAAAGAAACGACACCATAATTACTTTTATTGAAAGCGATCGTATCAGGAAGAAGATGATTCCAATTATCGGCACATATTATCCAGGTCTGTATATCATGTAGAAATATTTTCATATAAATTTGTATTTATTTTTCGTAACTACGTGTGTCTGTGTGTCTTATTTTTTTTTTTTTTTTTTTTATACTCTCATCTGGCCTGTTAAATTTTCTTTTCTCTCTACACCACACACAAGCGTACGCAAATTTTCACGTCAAAAGTGAAAAATTGCGTGTCAATTTTTATTCCCGCATTATACAGCGGAGAATGATAAATTAATTTTTCTCGTATGTCATCATTCGCGCGCGATAGTATCCGCGTCATAGATCTTTAATATATGAAAAATTTCTCTTTTTTTATTATTCCGCATTAATAAATGCATGACTTGTAATTTAATCTATGTGTGTGCGTGTGTGTGTTACGCGTTTCCACAGCAATTGACTGCAATTTACACACAGTTATTTATATCAATTTACGCAGATCAAAGGGAGATGAAATGTGTCCGTTTCTCGATTCTGTATCATCGAAAATATGGTTCACAATCTTGTGCTATCGGACGCATCTAAATGGTGATATGTGTGCGAAAATTAATTTATTTCGACGTAGTAGGAACAAGGAAGAAATTGACCCAATTTCTCGCGCTTCTGATCATATAATTCAATAAAACTGCTCCGAAGAACCGGGAGTTCTCTTTAAGAATTAACAAAGTTCCACAAACGGAAAAGCTTTGACAGCTATTTGGATCACACAACGCGGACAGTTTTAATTATTCAAGAGAACACCTCTGTGAAACAAGCATTATTTTTGATTTAGCGAACATTTGCCGAATATTTTATTAATTTGCGCGAAATAAATTTAAAAAAAGCGATCAAATGATGTTGTAGCGCACGCGCTCTTTACGCAAAGAATTTTGTTAATTTTTCATCATATTTTAACATTCTCATTATTATATGCGTATTATGCATAATCAATTTAATTCTATTTGAAAGCGCTAATATATTGCATTGTGCGTCGAAAATCGCGAGACGCAATTTGTGACTAAAGTTACATAAAATATGATATAAAAGTGTCACGCGAAAATTTGAAAGTTCAAAAACAAAAGGCTCGTGTTAAATTAATAAATTATATTTATTATTACTGCTTTATATATCTCGATAATTTATATTGTGTTTTTAATGTACTGAGTGATCTCGAAATAAATTCTATTTGCACTTTGGATTGGCCTTCAACCATCGCCTGATGCGAATCCGATCCGAGTGCAAATCCGGAAATATCTGGTCAATTATGAAGTGTATTCGCATTAAAAAACTGCTGTGTCAAATTGAAGTTCCGTCAGCAAATTCGTCAAGAAGTCGTTACTTCGGAATTAAACTCTCGGAAAATTCCTCGGAATTGAACTCTCGTTAAAAATATTTGAAAACTATTTTTTTTTTTTTTGTTTTACGTTCTAAACAGAGACAATATGAATTGTGCAGACTTGAAAATTGAAAATTTTCTGAAGTGAAGACTCTGTGCACGAAGATACATCTTATAAATTCTCTCTTGGGTTTTTTGATATGCATGTCAATGAAGAGCAACTGCTATGGTAACTATTGTGTGCGCGTGTGTGTGTGCTCCTCTTCGTGTAAAATTAAAATACCGTTGTTGAAAGAACGAAACTTTTGACGGGAATTGTACAAAGCTTTCAATGCGCTTGTGATTAAAAGATAAAAGCCCACCCGTAGATATTCTTTTTTGCCTCTTTTTTTTCTTCTTTTTTCTGTCTACTGCGCGCTTTCTGTTACGAGAACTTTGTTGGTCATGGATGCTTTTCTCTCTTTCTCGCGTCTCGGTGAAGTTCTAAATTGTGAAATTAGAACCTTTCTAAGCAAATGCCCCGAAGTCACACAAGAAATACAATAGAAATGTAACTGAACATATGAAAACGAAAGGTGAGATATGCACGCGAGGGTCTTCGTGAGATTATCGCACAAGATTTATCACAAAAAAATGTTTCCGCATAGAGACGATAAAAAAATTTTTTTAAATCCTGCTCTTAGGCTGCGCGTTCGAGGATCGTGGTGTTGCGTCAGTCTGTCTTTGTTTTATAATCTAAAAAACGATAGAGCGAGAATGGAATAGAGCAGATAGCGCGCTTCCCGAACGCAACCTTATCTCATTTTAACTACAATTGGGAAGTTCGAAAATTGTTAGTCTGATAGAGTTATGGCTTTTTATCCTGTCCACACGTCAGTTTGTCATTCGAAAATCGTTGAAATTATCGGAGAGATATATTATTTCATTCAAGCGAGAAGAGCCTTGAATGTGTGTAACCGAACTCGTGCACCATCTAGCGATAACCCGCAACGATAACAATTTGTTCTCGGTTAGATGGCGTTTGCTAGTTCATTAGTTCGGTTAGCTATTGCTAAACGACGTCTAATTCTCAGCATCACATTCAAACGAGATATCTCGGGCTGCGTTGGTATTCACAATTGTTATTTTTTATTTAGTTATACGTTAGTCTTTTAACTTTTATCAGAAACAAAGACATACGAAGAGAGACGATAAAGTATAAAATGTAACGTGCAAAAGATTTATAGAGAGAGAGAGAGACAAAAGATTTTTTTTTTGTATTTTATTTTTTTTTCTCACAATATTTATTAAAAATATATATATTATGTCATAAAATATCTCTTTTTCTGTCCACACAACGTGTGATAAATATACACACATAAACTATATATATATAAACTTTAAGAATTAAAAACTTAAAAACTATACGTACTATACTTTTTTTGCCATATTATGCAAATTTGCACCGAACAAGTGTTCGCAATTGACTAAACCTGAGAAGAAACAGAATGTAAATTCTTTACATTCGGTATTACCGTACAAAAAAAAAATCAACTTATACAAATCGCTGACATAATCGGGACGGATGAGACGTAATTTTTCATTAGAGCGCAGTGTTGTTATATTGTTACAACTTAGTAGTATAACAATATAAACCGGTTATATATATTTTGGACGATAAAGAATGAGAAATATAGAACATTTCTCATTTGTATCGTTAGTTACGAGAACACTGATATCTCTTGTATAATAATTCACGGCCAACAATTTCACATTAACGATTCTAATCGCTGCTGCAAAAGATCTTGCTCCGCCTTCATCTGATACTTGGAAAGTATTGGTTTTACTACTGACCTAAACGAGAAAGAACGAGTCAATTAATATTTTTTATTGACATTTTATGCATTTTATCTTATCATCTTATTGAGCACATTCCAGAGTTGAATGAGATTACTCACAAGTCCGAACACAATTGCATAAGGTGTTGTGGCATACGATATCGCGCGTGAGGCGAAAGATCAAGGAACGGATCATTCAAATTCCTCGTGTTTTCCAGATCGCCGAATCTGAAACAAATCGTAGCCAAGTCACACAACCATATGTTATTTGGATTATAACATGGAAATGTTTACGTCAGCAAATGCTGCACACGTGTATTTTATCGATCCTACCTCACAACGAAATGCCTGCGATACTGATGTATAACGTTTCTTGTATTACGTTTTGCTAAATCAAGCACCACTGGAAACGCTACGTCGCGAAAATCACCTATTTCATAATATTTATTGACCTTATTTACATTCGTATTGCTTTCTCTCGAGTTTGACATAACGACAGATCTGCTGGTCGGCGTGTCGATCCAAACAACACGACATCCGCTGTTAAATAACTCAGTGAACCACAAAACAGCACCAACTTTCGCTACGTTATTCCATTCAGCTCCGTCGTGCCAGTCGTACACCTTCAAAAAGCAATAAAATTTTTAATTTAAAATATTTTACGAACTTTCGAAATATCTCGCTAAACAATATGTAAAATATAAATTATTGAAAACTATTTCGTGTGGCGCAAAAAACTTACGGAACAAGAGCATATTTTGGCGAGAGTTTCTCGGAAATCTTTCATCAGTGTCATAAAAGATGTTGAGCTTTTGGTGTACAGAAGAATGATGTCATCGCACGCAGTATTGTCGTGATCGACTCCCTTCTCGCTGCCGTCGACAATATCGAAGTTCGTAGATTTGAGACAAGTGGGATTCAAGAAGTCGTCGTGCTGCGGGTTCACGTAGAGGTTGACCTCTTCCTTTCGTATGCGTACATAACGTAAAAAACATACTGCTCCGGCTATCGTCGATACGATCAGTAGAACGGCAATAATTGGCAACAATAGGTACGAACTTGATGCTATCACTTTGGTGTTATCAATGTGCGGCGCATTTTCAAAAGAATTCACGCAACCTATTAAAAACAAACATGTGTATTCTTATTTCAAAACAATTCTGTCCATTCTTAATACATTCCAAATGACGAAATACCGATTAGAGACGATAGGGTTAAAACTGTTTTTGCGACGTACATTTTTCATTCTGAATTTATACTTACGTTTTATCCAGATACACGGTTCTGTATCTAATCTTGAAACGATTTTACTGCATCGATCGTCAACTAATTCAAATACGGAACAATAACCCGTGGGTAGTGCAATTTGTATTTGAAAATTGCATTGAACAGTCTTTATATATTCTCCACTTGGTCTCCGACCCTGTTTGTTGATCAAAGTTATGGTTTTAAATAATAATTCACACACACAGAGCGAGCACAATGCGTATAAAATTTGTATCGATATATATTTTCTAAATTTTTTTTCAATATATTTTAGATCCGAAATAAAAAAACTAATATACCTCCTTCAAACTGCAGTTATTATTATTATCCTTTGATACATCGTTTATCTGAAAAACAAGATGAAGAATTGAATCAGAACGTCTCAATTTTTGTGTAAGAAAGCAAATGAAATTTTATGTTCAAACGTTACCAAGCTAACATTCCAGATGTGTTCGAACCACTCTCCTTTCCAGATACAGGGTTTGTCTGAGCTTATTGGTATGAATCTTACTTGAAGAAATTTTCCTACATCTGCCAATAGTGAGATATCGAATGTAAAACTTGTTATTTCATGCCTATAAAAATAACGAACTACTTTATTTACTTTGTACTGATCTTTTATTAGTTGGTGCCTAATTGATTATGCATCTCTATTGAAAATAAGAGATATTATTATTCAAACTCTCCTGATAAAGAGTATGTCTTTCTAATTTTTATATGATAAGAAATTATTATTACAATTTTTACCTTTTATCTGTAACATTTTTACCTTTTATCTGAGTACGTGTCGTATTTGCATATAACTTGTGGTTGCGTAACAAGGTCTCGATCAGATGTTTTTATAAATACATGGTTGCCTGTTACATATTTCTGCCCACCTAAATGAAACTGAACTGTATAACATCCCGTAAAGATATTGCTGAACCACAGATCAATATTATCCTAAAATAACAGTAAATGGATTATTTTATCAATTATCAAACCATAAAAAACGAAGCATACACACTTGCATATAATATTTCGATAATTGTTTATCACCTCATGTAAGAATCTGATCGAATTTTCATTATATTTCACAAGTTCATTCATGTTTCTGAGAAAACACAAGTTCTTCTCAACAGTATGTACTTGTAAATTAATGTTACCGGCTTTTTCAAATTCATAGTTTTCACATTCCCTTTCGTCTTTCACTGAAGAATCAACGAACAATGCTACTCCATATCGACATTCTCTTTTAGGAAGTGTAAAGTTTATCTTCAAAGAAGCTTCGTATATAAAAAAAAAAAAAAAAAAAAAATAGATTAGAGATAATGAATCAACAATCATATATATGTTTACGATTAAGTTTTACAAAATTCTGTTGCAACGTACTCATGGGCTTGTTTCTTTCATGCTGTACGACAACAAAATCGATAATATCAGGAACGTCTTCAATGGTGCAATCGCTAATTGAAGAATTGTACTCGACTACATTATAAAAGTCCGCACTTTGATGATACTTTAGTGTGTAAACATACTAGAAAACAAATACAACGATGTAAATACATTATCCCGCGTGTATTCTTATTTGTTACTGTACAAAAATAAATTGCGTTCATCGATCATCTTGTAAATATCACAGTAAACAAGTCTGCAAACTGTTTTGCAATATTGTAACAAGATGTTAATAAACTTTGTGAAAAACTCACGGTGCATTGAACATCGCCCAAAGTTAATCCATGTGTTCGCAGAGCCAAAACAAGCAACAGGAGAAAAACGCTGTACATTATACACTTATTTGTTACAAACAATATTCAACAATATTCATTTTCAGAGCCACATGCACATAATCGCGCTGTCGCGAGCGCTGTTCCAGCTATATATATGGTCGATTCTTTATTTTTAAAGCGAATCCCTTGCGAATACGCACTCAAACACGCACTTATAGTATGCGGTAACCGCGAATGCGATGTACTTTACGTTTCATTTATCGTGTTTATCATGACCTTTATCACTCTAGTCAGTCGATAGTAGCAAACGCTAGTGAACGCAATGTTGATCATTGTAGTTCCTCGCGCCTGGGTCCCCCCGTCGTGTCTTAGGCAGGAACGAACGGAATCGTCTCGTATCGAAGATTCGAACCCACGTTCTCGATCAGAACCCTTGCAGCAAAAATTCAAATCACCTTAGCGCGGATTATAACCTTAATAATCTCTGTTCTCTAGTGCCATATGTATTGTGAGCAGCAAGTGAGTTTGTGCAAACTCTGCGGCAATTTTGTAAAATAAAAACGCGCAGAGGAAAAACAACATGGGACGAACAATTTATGCCGAGGAGCATCTTCGCACGTATTTGACGTCCCTAGCGAAGCCAGATGGATACGCGATAGGATTGATCCTGGGACAGGTGTGATTTTCGCGTATCTTTCGTGTCATATCTGTCATTCGTTTTTTAACACGTGTCTCGTTTTTTGTTTTACGAAACATAGTTTTTTTTTTTATTATTTGTTGATATATGGTGTATTTCGAATTTCTTTAAATAAATTTATCTGAAGCAAAAGTTTGCTTTGTAACTTTGTTATAAAACTTATATAATTAAAAATGTAAAATTTCTCCAAGAGAGAAATGTGTAGGATACAAATTTGTAAATTTTTATTAACAAGTAATGTTAGTCTCTCATTCGATATTACAGAGTTCTGGACAGAAAGACTACATAGTGCATTTAGCTAAGACACCACCTCCCCTTGCTAGAAATGTTGTAGAAGAGACACTAATTAGTACTTCTACCGCACCAGCAGAACTGGATACTACAAACACATACATTAAATCTGTTAAGGATATTCCTCTCAGTTGGGTGGCTGATCATGCGAAACATGTAGGTTGCAATTCTTATGATACATCTTTGTAAAGGAATATACAAAAAAAAGAAAATTAATTCCTTATTTTTGTAAATTGTTACAGAAATGAAATATGAAAAATACAAATGCTCAGCTTCTTAAAAATCAAATAATAAAATTATACACATGGTATGTCTAATATGTTCGTTTACTATGACGTTAATATTTTAAACATTTTGAAAATTGACTGTAGAAGCGCATATGACTATAAAAATAAATAAGCACAGTTTAGAAAAATAAGGAATTGTATCGGACAGAGAGAACACAGATTAAACATAATTTTAATACTATATAAATGTTCGATCTTATTTACAGGTTACAAAAATGCTACCTGGTGGAATGTGGGTGCTCGGTATATTTATTGTTGGTCCTGAAGACACTTTAGGTGATACCAATAATGTACAGAAACTAAAATTAGTTCTTAGTGCCATTCACAAAACTCTCTCGTCAAATAACAAGTACCTCTGTGGAAATAACGAAGATGAAAAGCTTATAGTAAGCTTTAACAGTATCACACAAAAGTACATATGTTTTATGAAATATATAAAATTACATATTACATAATCTCTGTAATTGATTTGATAGTTCAAGGTTTGTTTCTTCACAGACATATTTGCAAGTCCATAGACATTACTAAAGATAATATATTAAGACCAGCCGATTGGAGATTCCAAGAAAAAGCGACTAAGTGGCATCAGCTTGAAGCTCTGGTAGACTTTGATAGATTGTATCTCATTGCCGCAAACAAGGATCCTGAAACTCTCAAGAAGCAACTGCAGGTTATTAACAAATAAAAAACTCATTATCTTATCGAGAATATAAATTATTTTACATGAATTAAAAAAGCCAGATATTTCACAGAACATCTTGGCAAGTGTGGCAGATATGATCGACTCTTCTCTCGTTGTTATCGAGGGAGAAGTCAGATCTTCGGATGACGCATTGGAAGAAATTAGCAAGAAAAAGAAAGAGAGCAAGGAGTGTAAAAGTAAGAAAAATGATAGCAATAACTCACTCCAAGTCAGTCTGTACACTTCTTGTGTGAGTATAAACACAAATATACTTAAACGTCGCATAAAAAAATTTTATTGTGATTTATTAAATAAAAAGTGTTTTTACTTCAGTCACAGAAAAACACCAAATTGGATACAATGGCAATGTCATGTAGCGCATCGATACGATTAATCGGGCAATTAGTCAGCAGAACGTTTGTGCATCAGAAAGCCAGTATTGCAGAAGCCAATTTGGCTGTGAGACAAGATATAGTGAGATCTCTTGCAAGCAGATTGGAAATGCATTGGGATAGTTTAATAGAGGAAGAGAACGGTTCTCCCGAAGGTAAATGATTGATAATGATACTTCTCACACAGAATACATACAATGGAGATTTTGACTGAATCTTTGCACACTTGCAATTTGCTTTCAGAGAACGTCACGTTACATGAACCACCTAGAAGAGTATTGATAGCGTTACCGGAAAACAAAGTCACGTTATCAGATTATCTATTTCCCGGAGAGGGACCGCAAGAAGCGTTGTTATCGTTGCAGGAACTTCTAGATCTCCAACTGCAAGAGAGTCAGGTTCAGAAAGATGTCGAGCTACAGGCTGGTAAGTGAAGTTTCTCAGTTTACAATACCATAAAGCTGCATGTGTATCATCATTTTGATTGCAAATGAATTGATTGACGCAGATGCCACAGAATTTTACTGTCAAAGCGATGTCAATACTAAACCGTCGGACAATACTACTGACACAACCAGAAATCAACAAATTACGATTTATCTTACCGGTTTGAGTGTTGCACTTGTTGCATTGATTGTAGCTGTCCTTGTGCACCAACTTGCGATTTAATATGTACTTATTTATTAAATATGTGTACTATAAATAATTTACTTGCGTGTAATCTTTATATATAGTGTATAATTTTTCGTATTTTATTAATAATGCACATAAGATTATATTACTTTGTATATCATGCACTATTATACAAATGGTTCCGATTTTAAAATACAAAAAAGTCCATATTTTTGAAACTCACTGTCAGACCATTTTTGCTAGCAAATAAATACAAGACGCTAATGGCGCTAAACAAATCCTAGGCGAACTGACCTGAATATCTGTTGTGCGAATACATATAAAATACTATAAAAATTAAATTATTCAACTATATTTTTCGAAAAAAAAAACTAATACGCAATTCATATTATTTTTAATACAAGAATGCATTTTAATATAAAACATAAGAGATATTTTTATATTTGTTAGACCATCGAACTTTTCGATTCAACATATTCACCTCGCGTGATTTTCACTTGCAAAATGATAAATTGATTTGCTCGAAGCGAATGTGTTGAGAAAATTTTTATTTTTTCTGTTTATATAAACTTAATAATATGTGAAGTTTACGAAAACCAATTGTTCATGTTTGTTAACTTTTTGAGGAAATATAAATATTACACAGTATATATTTTCAACTTGCACTATATTGTATATGGATTTTTATTATAACATCTACATAATATCTATATATACTTATATACAACATCATATACATATATTACATACAAAAGATTAGTTATCTTCGTAATGGCAATCCTTGTATTATTAATATGTCTGCTATTATTAAATACAGTTTTCAATATTAATATGTAGTATGAATAATGCATACTGCATGATAATGCCAAATCACATAATATAATTTTGATATAAAATTCTTTTAATAAAATCAGGCAGTCGTAATTCTAATTGTTTAAATGCTTGCTATCAACTCTGTATTGCTTTAATAAATTTTGCAAATATCTGTAAAATACTATGCTAATATATATGTGTATGAAAATTTTATTTACAAAACTTTGTACACTGTACAAGAGACACGCACACTCACGCAAAAATCCATCACAAAAAAGGATAATATCTTCAAAAAACTCGAAAAACAATAAAAGAAAATATATCCTTTTTATTCTTCTGCAATAAATATCATTTGTCCATGTTAAAAAAAAAACTAGATTTTTTTCTTTCCCCTTGCGTTTTGTGTTAAATACATTTGTTTTCCTTTTTTTTTTTTTTAGTGTCTCCACATTCTCTTCAATTTTTTCTTTTTTCTTTTTTTTTTATTATTGAGTGCAAGCATAAACAACCTTCAGAATGAGTGTGATTTGTACATACACGTAACTCTATTGACTTTTCATATTCATATGTGATAAAATTTCATCAATTCCAATATTATATGTATTCACATAAATATATTAAAATAATGAGCACAAAATATGTACAAAGTTAATAATTTATATGCCATAATGCGAACCCAAATTCTTCTTATGTATACAACACATGGCAATATTATTTAAATTCAGGTAAACAACGTTTGTATAACCAGCAATTTTATCCTCAAATATAATAAATTTTTTTTCCAATAAATAATAAGCGTTTTTTGTTTTGTAGAATCATACGTACTCTAATTTGTAAATAATAAATTATATTTTAATATATAATACTTTTTAATTTTCTAAAACAATTTTGTGACTCAAAACAAAAAAGATGTCATCATGCGGCATGTAGTTATTATAGTCAAATATGAATGTAACGCAATAAATAGTGCAGTTGTAGGAAATTACGTTAGCCTTTAATATTATGCTAATAATTTACACAAATCTCTAATTATGCAAATAATTACGTTTGTCCCAATTACAGCATAAATTCGGCCATTTAAGTGTTATATAGATTTGTAACTTAATTTCCTAGTCATTAAAACAAAAATTCCCTTGAAGCTACTTTTCTTTCCAAAGAAAAGAGAGTCATAGTAGTAAATACTTTGTTCTTTTAATTTAGTGACGTTAATAATAATACATTTACATATAATTGTCATTCTGTTTACACATGAATTCTCAACGAAAATGCAAACAAACTGCATTTCATATTATGATCCAATATGCAATGTTAAAAAAAAAAACTGCACTATTTATTCGAAAAAGCGATTATTCTTAGATTCTGCTACTCTTAGATAACAGAAATTTATACTACGCCCATTTTTATGAGCCCTGACTGGCTTCCTCTACCGACACTCGCATCTTCCAATGAATCCAAATCCAACGCGGACTCTATCATAGTTGTGTCTTGCAACAATCTAAGTTTAGATGCAGACAAAGAGTTTGTTACAGTTACCGTTGGTATAGAAGATGTATCCAGAGTGGAAGAAACCACAGCACTCTGACGAGGAGGCAGCGGAGCGATTTCATCGATATCAATTGGTGCTATATTGAGAGACGCTAGCGGTATTTCGTTGGTAACAAGTTGACTTATACTGTTTGTGGTACTACCTAAAAGCAAAAGAGCAATGGGCAGATAAGTACAGGTTCAGTTTGTCTTTGATCTTGCATACGGACTTGTACAAAGTGCATATATATATATATATCTATAGCGTCGCAAAATATAAATAATTGCTATTAAAAATCGTAAAAAACAAGCTGTTTTTTATTTATTCTTTCTAGCACCAAGAAAAAAACGACAAAAATATACATACAAATTATTATCAAAAAGGTGCAGAGTTGGCCTTGTGTTTCTTGAGCGCAATGTGTCAACAAAACCGACATAAGCTTCACCATAATCTTAATTACCCATTTGTGTAATAATAATATAAGTGATTTTTGATACACATCTCCCCATATTTCGTGGAAAGTTAATATTCTGTATTAGAAATTGTGGCACACACAATGTTTTCCGCTTCTACTTATATAATAAGTGCGAAAAAAAAAAGTTAAATCAAACCACTCGTATTCTTCATATAACTGGCACAACACCGTCATGTTTTTTTTTTTTAATTTGTGAAAAAAAAGCATTTCGATTAAGTATTATATGAATTATTGAATTTGAAGTTTGTTTTTTTTTTCAATAAAAAAAATTCCATAGTTTTATTATCCTCAATAAAAATCTATTTACAAATTAATGCATACACATAAAAACTTATCTTGCCCAGAATGGGTAAAACCAAAATCATAAAACTAATTAGTCACAAACCATAAGTCCCCGTAATTAATAAATAAATGTGTTGTCGGGATTAGTTTTTATAAAAAGAAGAAATATATCACGTGATAGATTTATTAATGCTAGTGAAGATAAAATATGTATCAGGGCATTCGTATATTAAAACATACACTCAGTGAATGGATCAAAATAATAACTTACCATGTAGTATGCTCTGAGCCCTCGATAACAGGACGTAATTTCAAACAACAAAGAAATTTTATTGAATTATTTCGGTTATTTTGCGTTTTTGTCAACTAAATTGCTAAACATCTTATAAAAATTTATTTGTGATGCTTAAAGAAAAACAACTTTTTCAAATACTTTCGTATTATAAACTTAATTGCATAACATAAGTCGAAAGCAATATTTATATATATATTCCTTTCTAGAACATCAATTAAAATAGGTATATGTCTTATACCTTGTATATATGTATATAACTCACGTATATACCATTATGTATGTATAACATCACATATAATATACATATTACTTTTTAAAATAAAGATCTTTACGCTTAAAATGCAAAACAGTCAAAAAATAAATAGATCTCTCCTTGCAACAATATTAAATTCAACCTTTTGACATTTTCTCGTATATAATAACTATCAACTATAACTTTTTTTTTTTTTTTTAATTCCCGATTTAAAGGAATCAAGAACAATCATATAACCATTCATATGTATAAATTGGTGCATTTCTTTCTACACTGTGAAAGAGATTTCTCGGAGGAGGGACGAGTCAGAAGTTTCTAATTATTAAAGCTTTCTAATATCATGAGTATCCACGATTTCTTCTGTGTGTATAACTACAATTGTAACTACAATTATTTTACCGATATAATCTTTCTCTCGTTTCTTATGTTACGAACGAATCATACTTGAATCATACTTGAAAATTACGTTACTTAGGAAGAGAAATTCGTAATAGACGTTAAATATCTTCGTTATCGCTCAATGAACTCATGATGAAACGCCGATTCAACAGATCTTCCTCCGTGGTATCGCTCGGACATAACCAGTTTTCGGCGTACGATAGATTATTAGTTAACGGCCCGGAACCGAATCTATTGACCATGAGACCGAACGCAGTTTGCCCGATAATTGGTATGGCGCTCGTGCCTAATATACGCGCGGGTAGAATGTTCTTTGATATCGGATACTTCAGAGTGTGATCGACGCACCTTAGATTGTTGTATTTAAGCGCGTGCGGGGATTGCGACAACCGCAGCGGATCCTCGGAGTAACATTGGGGAAATTTTTGCAGATCGGTGTAACCGTTCTTTTCGTTTATCTTGTAACGCAAAGGATCCTCGGAGTATCTCTGAGGATATTTTTGCAGATCGATACCGTACTTTTGATCACCCACGCATTGATCGTATATAAGATTGTTGTCCGAGCACCTTTGATACTCTTCTCTACATCTGTGAGGATATTTTTGCAAACTTTCCTCGCATCTGCACGGATATTCCCGAAAGTCCGGATTCAACCGATCCACTTCGGTGGTATTATATTTTATATTATGTTTCACGGAATCCTGAGAGCAATGTTGTCCCGGATACGGCGGCACGTAGGTATCATTTATGTAATGACGCGGATATTTCGATAAGTCCTCGGAATAACGCGTAGGATGTCTCAAGAGCGTCAACTCACCGTTTATTGACTCTATTCGTGGAGAATGTTGACCGGTGATCAAGTTGTTCATTGAACCCGTGAGATCTGTGCTAGGACTCGTGTGTACCGTCGTACCATTCGACTGTGTGAATGAATAAAACCAACAAATATGTACATCTATGTACAAATTTTCTCGACAATATCGATATTAACAAAATCAATTAATGATCGCTTGTTATTTACCTGCGGTTGCACAATTTTGGTAGTACCATACGTCTTATTAGAAATCACATTGTCATCACCAACTCGTTCGTGTTCCGCACGATATTCAGGTGTAACTATTCCTCTTCGATCTAAAAAGATATGATTCTAAGCGAGATCTATAAAATCTAATACTAGAATAAAAGAATACAACAATGTGTGCTGTTACTTATATTTTTGATTTTGCATAATAACTGCAAAATTAAATTAGATCAAGATTATCTAGCCTGTATTAAAAAAAATGCCTTACCAATTAAGCTAGGTGGAGCTGGCCCACACAAAACGTAAAAAAAGTTCCCACAAATATTTCCTTGACTATAAGGATTGAAATTGTCTTGTCCTCTTCTATTCGTAAATGATCCCTTAATCTGATAATAATTAAAAAAAAAAAAACTATTATTATAAATTATTTGAGCGGTGTCTTAAAAACTAACGGAAAATATTGCAATAACATTTTTCTTCAAACTATTTTATGGGGAAAATTTCAGCATGAAAAGATATTGAGCTTGTTACAGTTTTTAAATTACAAGCGATTAAAGGTCACGAATAGTGAGACTGACATTTCGCTCGCCCAGTTATGGCGAGACGGCCAAGTAGTTAAAGGTGATTCAATAAATAGGCTTCTACAACGACGATGAAAGTAGTGTAAGTAGGTGTAAGTAGTGTAAGTGTAAAATGTCACGACTTTCTTTTGCCAGAAAAAAAAACTACTTAACAGAATACCGTGAAAAATAATGTCGTATTTTTTCCGAGTTAAGTTTTTCAGACACTCCCAATATATAATTGATCGAACTTACATCTTCGTTAGTTGTTTGATTACTGCTAGTTAAATATGTGTGGAAGCCAGCAAGGCCTAAGATACTCCATACGGAAAAGAAACATATAACTCCCACAATAACACTGGCAGGTGATAATCGCATAGCTTCTAAGAATGGTTTGTTATCCTTAGTAACTGAAATCACACAATAAATGAATATAAATTTCAATTTTTTTTCCCGCAACATTTGTATTTTGGCCAGAAGAAATGAAAAATACTTACGCAGGATTAAATGTGTAATCGCGCATATAAATATAAAAACGCATAAAAATGCTAAAGACACTATAAACGCATAGAAATATCTATAATTTCTTCTGCCTACGCAATTACCAACCCATGGGCAATGATGATCAAATCTCTCTGTAAGAATAAAAATTCTTTGTTTATCTTTATCACATCTTTGATTAGTATCAAGTGACAAGCAAATCTTAATGCATCTGATAAAAATAATAAAGAACATAAAACAAAAATGCTGAATTTCATTCACAATTTTAAAAAACTACGTGCACTTTTTATTACAAAGTTTTAAATATATATAAGACAATAATAATTAATCTTTTAATAAGACAATAAATACACCTACCTACACAATTGTCACATAAACTACAGTGAGAGGCCCTGGGTGGCCTAAATATTTTACATGTAAAGCAATATTTTAGTTTTACTGGTTGTCCTTTAATCAAAACTTCTTTTGTTCTAGGAGGAGGTCTGTATGTTTTCGAATTATCATCATTTGGTACTTCTACAAGTTTCACATAAAAAACATTTTTGAAATATTTAATATTGAGATATCTTATAATAAATCGTTTTTTTTTTTCTTTCTGTATTTACGTAACATATAGAGTAACTCTCTGAGTGTAAAATAGTATTATTTTGTCTGTAAATACTACTGAGAGAGATTTATACCAATTTGCTTTTCAATATAAGCCGCTTCATCAGGTGTTGCTCTTGGAATTACCCCAGGGTCACTAAAGCTCGTACGAAATAAAGCGGACATTACAAACAAAAATAACAGAGCTCCTATTATCGGTATAGCTGGTGTTACATGTAGTGCCAAATACGGACAACTGGAAAAGAAAAATTATTCCAAGAAGTTCAATTTGCTATTGCACGTAAAACAATTATATGTTTGATCTCTCTACTTATAAGATAAATTTCAAAACTTTTCACAATATGGTTTTCTTAAGACACACTTGCATTTGATGTAACTTTGACTAAGAGATACGATGTTTTTTTTTTGTAAATCTCTAACTCTACATAACTCTCTTATATGACCTCGCTAAATTTTAGAAAACAAATGTAATGAGTAAAATTATGAGAAATGCTTACTCGAAGCCAAAAAATAATCCACTTGTCCCAACAATAAGACACACAGTGACATAGAACACTCCAGTCTGGGGTGCCATCATCACTCTGCCATCACAACAGAAACGATTTCTTCCCGGGAATAGTTCCCATTTTCGCGTGACGTGAGGCATCTTGCTAAAATATAAAGTTCCTCTCATGTATTGCCATATATAAGCGTAGAAATCCCGGCTGTGAATCGCTGGCGGTTCATCACAATCGCGCAACTGTTGTGTCCCATCAGCATTCCTGTCTGAGAATTTGGACGAGCATGTTTCATCTTGCCTGCTCAGTCTGGTCTCTGAGTTAAAACACGCAGCGGAACTCAGCAGCAACATCCACAGAAATTATTCACAGAATTTTTTTTTCGCGACGTCGCGAAAACCGCCTGTTGAGCTCCACTGTCCACTGATAAGCGGGCGGCTCGAGAGAGAGAGATCAAGAGCTAATTTTCCGAGAGAGCACGGTTACAACAAAAACAACATCGCTCAAATTGATTTAACCTAAATTTCTTTTGGCTGTAATGTATTATTTAATGTATATTTAATTTTTTTTAATTTTTTACACGAAACGTGTTCACGAGAGGCATCTTTTCGCGAAGAAAAAAAAAAAAAAATCACCACGAGAGGACTCCGTTTCGTTCGCGTTTTTTTCGTCGAAACCGCCGCGCAAACCTCACACCTCGCGCGACGTCGTCATTGTCCGTCCCGGATGCCACTTGCTTCGACGGCAGTGTTCGTCGGAAGGATCGCCTAACCGCGAAGGAAGGAATCTTGGTTTCTCAAAATTGGGTCAGCCGAGGGGGCCACTCGAGCGGATCGTGCGCGAGCCAGTGTTCGCGAAAATTCTCGCGGCGCGCACTACGTGTTTTCCGAGAACTACCGCATATTCCTTCAAATCGCCATCGTCACCAGACTCGCCGTTGACATCGCCATGAGCCTGCGAAACACGACGACGACACGCACATATTTACGGATCGCGGACGGCTGTTTGCGAAGTTCGTCACCCGACGTGTTTGCTCTCTCGAAACGCGCGCAGCGCCCTCGCACGGCTCACGCGCAAACGCCACGTGACTCGTCACCACGTGATCCGAGCGGCCGAGACAATCGCGATTCAAACGCTCGTCTTCATCCTCGCGCGGATCGATCATCGATCATCGGCAGGCTCACCTGCCTGCGATTCGCGCGAGTCGTCCTCACCTTCTCGAACGCAACGTTCAAGCCGTGAATTTTTATCGGTTGTGAGATTAGATAAATGCGAGATAACATAAATTTACAAAGAAAACCGAGGAGAAGAGATGATCGAAAATGATGAGAGGAGCGACGCGACTCCGCCGCGGCTGTGATTCCCGTTCGGGCAGCCGCGTAAAAAGTCATCTCCGAACGGGTTCGTCTCTCGATCAGCGGACGCCGCGGAATTGATTATTTAACGGTAGAGTGGGTGGCGAGAGGAGAGCGCGACTTATCGCCCCCGTTGCAAAATAGGTCGTCGACGCAATGCGGTACGTCGCCGCGCGCCGCACAAACACGCGGACACGCGCGTACACGTACACGCGCGACGCTCGCGTGTGTTGATTGAAGAGAATCCTGAAAATCGAACAATCTCGCCAACGGCGCCATCTTCGAGCGCGAACAACATCTCGATCACGAGATTTTCACGAAGTTGATGACAAAGCTCGGAAAGAGCACATAGATCCCGCACGGCGCCTTTGTTGTGCATACATCACGCCAAATTCATCGTGTGACACCGTGTGCGTTGTTGACAGAAGGGTGATTTTTTTATTTATTATCAAACATAGATCGTATCGAGAAGAGGTAATGTATGTGTGTATGTATATATATATATATATCTATACAACACGTCTGTGTGTATTTGTTAAACGATTTAGTTAGAAACCACCACTCTTCATCATAATGGATGCTGGGGGATTTATGGTTTGTTTTCTTCATGCGCGATGACGATAATAATTTATTATTTCTTCTCGTAATACCGACAAGTAATACATATTTGTTAATTGCATGTTAATTTCGTTAATAATGTTTGTTTTTTTCCGATACAATTTTTTCAATGTGATCGCAAATTACAGATTGCCTCAAAATCAAACGAGACAAATGTATACGCCGGTGAATAAAACATATTTTCTCGATTGATTGCAATATCATTGAAATCAATCGCGGAATCGTCTCGTTGACGTCTCTCATACAACGACGAACACAGCGGAATCAAATCTCTCATAAATTTTCTGATATTCGTTCGTACGGCGGGTAATCTCGCGGCGGATAATCAGCACGCGCATCCCCTTCGCTCGGAGATATTCATCAGCGACCCGAGACGTCCGGTCTGTCGGCAAGAGGTTTTACAAGAGAGGAGGAAACGCGATCGCGCTCGCGGCGATATCAACAGGCAACAAGAAGTCGGCGGAGGCGATCGCGTCAGATCGCGAAAACGACTTCCCTCTCGACGCGACCCTCTGCACGAGTCTCTCCCTCTCACTTTCTCTCTCTCTCTCTCTCTCTCTCTCTTTCTCTTGTATCCACGATCGAAGGTACAGCCAAAGCGACGGCGACAGTGGCGGCGGCGGCAGCGGCGGCGGCGGCGGCGGCGGTGGCGATGGTGGCAGCGACGGTGAGGGTCGTCTCGATGAGGGGGGCAGGGTCTCCGCGGGAAAGGTACCAGCGGTTTAGCGAGGGTAGGAGAGGAGATAGAGAGAGAGAATGATAGGGGCGGAAGGGGGGATCTCGTCGGGAGGGTGCATGAATCGTCGTGGAGCGGGCGGATAGACGTACAGACGCAAACGCTGAAATCAGCTCGGGCGATCGATGCGATAAATGGATGCGTGCGATTGGTAGCCGGGAAAATCGATGATGAACACAGGGGGGCATACCCTACCTACCTCTCTACCTCTCTAGCCGGCGAAAGCCGGCTGAGCCACCACGGCCGCGCCGCGCCGCGCCACGCCGCACCGCGCGCGGAGAGGATGGAGCAAAGACCGAAATATCGATTTTTAGGCCCCTACGCGGCGGTTCGTTCGATGCTCGTATCTGCCCCGTGCCCCCGTCCTGTCCGCACCAAGCGCCTTTCAAAACACCGACGACGCGCGCGAGATACGCCGCGCTCGTGCTCACGCAGCCTCGTCCCCGTAGAGAGAGAGACGTTTCTGTTGCTTCCCGTTGCAACCCGCATACGGATTTGCCCCAGTCGCGTGTATCGCGTGCACGAGTAAGATCGAGAATCGTGGGATCTTCGTATATCGCATCGCCCGGTGCGCCGATGTTCTCAGGTAAATCGCGACGAAAGTGAGACGGAAAGAGAGACATTTCTGAACGGGGGAGAGAAAGAAGAGAGAAATCGCGATCGCGCGATTGAATTGTGCATTTCCTCCTGCCGCGCTCTTTTCTTCTTTTCTCTTCCGCGTTATTAATTTTCGAATTGCACAAGTGATAATTCGCGTAATCGTAATCGATGGCGATTCCGTGACACACGAGTGCGAACCCGCGGCCGAAGTGTGTTTCCCGACGTGTGTTTGATCGCGAAGTAAGGATGCATGATGTTGCGCGTTTCCCGTCACACACACACACACACACGGTCTCGGGGAATCGAGAGGGTGCGGGAACGACAAGTGTCGAGCGTTGACGTTAAAGAGAGAACAGAGGGCTACGGTCGTAGATCTTCCTGCCTTTGTGTGCATCCCCGATTGAGTTTGCAAATACGATTAACGTGTGACGAAATACGCGGTGAGATCGGGAAGAGAATCGCGCGCGCAAGAGAGAGAGAGAGAGAGAGAGAGAGAGCGAGAGAGAGAGAGAGAGCGAAAGACAGAGAAAGCGATACGGCGCGCGAGTTATCACGTTGTGTAGACTTTATCGCAACGAGCCGCATTGATCTGATTGACAACTCGACTCGTGACCGGAAGTCTGACGATCTACCGAGCTCGAACGAAACGATATATCGCGCGCACACAGTCGCGCGTTCGCGAAATTTATATCTACCTTGATCGATTACGCGGAACAATTTGCAACTTTGATATTTTCACGAACATCGAGAGTAAAATATCGTACAGCAGAGAAGATAATTACTGGTACAAAGGAAGTTAAGAGAGCGAATTTCGTTTTTGTTGTAGATTACATCGGGATAGACGGGTCGCTGATCCATTCGTGTTGGAAGATCGTGAGACTCTTTGCGTGAGGTTCGAACGATGCGATCATGGGCGAGATGGCGATATGTAGCCTCTCTTTCTCTCTCTCTCTTTTTTTCTCTTTCAACTTCGCAGATAATTATCGCACAGTCGCGACGATAGATCGATAGATAAAAAATGCGCAAGACCTCGACGCTGTGACGAAAAGAAATCCGGTTCTGCGACACACATTTCCCGTTCGATTTTATATATAATAAATTTTGTTTTTATCTCGTCCGATTTATCAATGAGATCAAAGCTCCGCGCAACAGGCACGCGTACGTTTATTTATGTTAAAATTCCACAAATAACGTACGCACAATTTTGCCGATTTTTAATCGCGCATTTTCTCGCGTATTATATTTCGCGTTTTTAAATAAAATAAATTAAATTGTGAAAAATTTGATAAATTCAAACAAACACGCGCAACGCCGAGATCGCAGCAATCATCGTCGAATTTCCACACACACGTGTAGTAATCCAGAGAATTGCTTGCTTTTTTGTTTAATACAGAAAAAATGGCCATCGCCGCCTCGGAGAATTATCAGCTGAAGTGGCACAGTTACGGGGCGCATCTGCATAGCTCCGTCGCGACGCTGCTTCACTCGGAGTCCTTCGCGGACGTTCTGCTGGCCACGTCTTGCGGACGACACGTGGCGGCCCATCGATTCGTCCTTGCTGCCTGTTCGTCCTATCTCAGTCACATTTTCCAAACATGCCACTTTGGCGCGAACACCAATGCCCCGATTATCGTAGTTAGTACACGGACGCGTGTCTTATCGTTGCCAGTAAATTCAACAACGCAAATTGAACACGTACGGAATGACTCAATAATATTCTGTGCTTCCCAGGTATTGCCAACGGAGATCGGATACCGTACGTTAAAAATCCTGATCCAATACATGTACAGCGGTGAAGCCACCGTGACGAACGATCAATTGGAAGGAGTATTGAAAGCCGGTGATATATTGCGCGTACGCGGACTGTGGAGGTCGAACACAGGCAGTAGCAAAAAGGAGAACATACAGTCGAATAATCAGAAAATTGAACGCGACAAGCGGGAACCGACGCAGCTGGCCGGACAGATACAAAAGATCAAGTTGATACAACCGACTCAGGAGAAGGTGGCTGACAGCGCGCAGCAGCAACAGGCGGCGCCGACCTGCCAAAATAACGTACAATCCACAAAATCGGTCGAAAGGAAGAGCATCGAGAAGACCGAGGAGAAGACCAACGAACCCGAACCGAAAAAAGTATTGGAGGAGAACCAAAATAATGAACAGAACAAGAACAAGGAGAATCTCGAGACGAACGGCAAAAAGAAGAAGGCCGTTAACAGCGACGTCGAATCGACCAAGTCGAAGTCGAGCGAAGGTGGCGAAAATGTGAGGCGGTATCTTTGTACTCATAGTAGCGCGTAAAGAGAAAAAGTGCACGTTCACAAGTGTAAAGCTTTAACGTTTTTCCCCTCTATCTCTGTTCTTTCCTTTTAGACCGAACTAAATCTGGAACTGTTAGTGAAGGACGAGCCGATCGATTGGGAAGAGTCGATCGATCCGTCGGAATCGCTCACAATAGACCATGAGATCGATATCAAACCAGTGCGTAAAAAAAAAAATAAGGCGGGAGACAATACTTCTCTAGACGCAAAGACAAAGAAAGACCGCGATGATAACGATTGATATTTTCCTTTCCGCAGGAGATTGTGCACAGCGCGGATGAGGACGGGGATATTGAGGAAGAGGAGTACACACCGCTGACGTGCGACATGTGCAGTCAAACGTTTAACAGACCGTCAGATTGGGTGAAACATATAGAATTCACGCATGCCGACATGACCGAAAATCGGAGAAAGAGACGAAAGGTATTGTGATTCTTGTAAAATGCGATATATATATATATGTATGTACGCGCGCGCGATAACGCACAGATGAAAACGAAAAAACGCGACGGTTTCAGGACGACATGGCCGACGACAACAAGGAATTTCCGCCGCTGAAGTGCGATCTGTGCGGCAACATGTATTCCACGCCACAGGAATGGGTGCGTCACATACAAACGGAACACACGGAGGAACAGTTGGCTCTGATGAACAACTCGGCGCCACCTAAACCGAAGAGGGTTCACAATCACCAAAAGTTATGCAACATATGTCAAAAGGAATTTCCAAGCCACGCCTCGATGGTCATCCATCAGAGAACGCATACGGGCGAGAAGCCCTTTCTCTGTTCCTACTGTAAAAAGGGCTTCAACGTAAAGAGCAATCTGCTGAGGCATTTAAGGACATTGCATGACAAATACGTACATCCCAGTTTGTACGGAAGTAATGGTTGCAAGAACACTTAAGAGCTCTTCTTCACATCCCTTTTTGATGCGTATATAAAAGATTTCTGTTTTGCATGAGCGTCTCAGTCTCGCACAGGGACTACAACATTTTATGTATATTTATTAATTATGTCTATGTAGACTGAACGTGTATCTATATAAACGTAAAAAAAAAAAAGATGCCAAATCGGAGCATAATGTGAGCACGATGAACTGAGTCGGGATCTGTATGAATCTTCATTGAGAAAGCATAATCGAGCGCATCTGAAAAATTCACACACAATGCATATTGGAGAGAAAATCTATACAAAACTATTTTTTCTAAAAGGTAGCGACCGCATTGTTTATATAACAACCTTCTTCTTTTCAACATTTGTATAAAAAAATGGTAGAGCTCCTCTCTCATTAAAAATAAAAAAATTTTTTTTTTCTATTGAGTTAAGACAAGAAAGCAATATCAGGGCTTTAATACCAAAGAGGCTGATTAATATTGCCAAAAGTTGTCTCATTCTTTGTTTTTAACTTTCTTCTTCTTCTTCTTCTTCTGACGTAGTAAGCAAAAAAATTACTTATTGTGTTTTAGTATCAAAAAAATTTTCTTTAAATATGAGAGACAAGCAGAATGACTTTATTACTTATAGATCTGTCGAGAAGTGCTTGCATGTAAAAATACTTCTATAGGTATAAATCAATTTAATAATTAATAATCTAATAATTAACTTAATTATTTAGAATTACTATTACGAAATCCAAATTATGTAAGATTTAAACTGTATACTTCTAGGCTATTCCATCCACTGATAGCCCTTCTATTCCCTCAGCTCGTAAGTTAATGTGTAAGTTATAATTATGTATTTTTATATTAAAGTAGCTTATACAGACAAAATGTTTAAGTAAGAGATACAAGATACTTGCATTAAGCAAAACTTGAAAGATTTCGATTTAGGCGTTAGGATATAAGAGTAATATATAAAATATATAATATATTCAAAATTTATCAATTTTTTGGAAATATATTGAGTTCTTCTCTTACATTATATATAAAAAAAGCGCAATATTATCAAAATACTGTCACAGTCCTTGAAACAGTAACAATGTGAATATTGATTAAGATGAATAACACCATTTTGCTATATTAATCGTTAACGTGACACACTCTACTATGAATTTTAGTGTCAATTCTGCATTGTGCTAGCACACTGTGACGAGCCAAATAACTTAAAAAAAAAAAAAAATGTAAAATTAAAACAATATACTACCTTAAAAGTACTTCGAACTTCGCCTTACTTGTACCTCAGTATAATGAAAATAGAATATTTAATTTTTTTTGTTACTATAAAATATATGTATGATATTGTCTCCTTGAAATATTACAATGTCAATCCAATTAGTCTTTTTCTATCGAAATAAATATAACGATGTCATAAAAAGACTATTGCTAATCGGACAAGTTTGTGAATCAGTAGCTTAATACCGGTACCGACAATTTCAGTTCAATAAGTCTCAATTTTTCTTGTTTTTTCTTTTTTTTGTTGTTTTAATTGTCTTCCTCATCGTCAATCTTAGGCGCCAAGTAATACCTTATGTGGCCGAAATCGCTGATTTTGTATTCACATACTAACGGAACATCGTCAGACATAGATAGTTGAACTTGATTGCAAAGCGGGCCAGCTTTTACAAAACAGTTCAAATAACGACAAGAAAATGTTAACTTGACTGGCTCCTGCATATTAATTATAACCGCTTCCTCTTCATTGTCTGCATCTGCAGTTTGTGCCAATTTGATGCTGGCTGCAAAGAAGTAAGAACATACATGTATGCACATGACACTATATGACACATACAACTAAAAGTTCTCACACAGATAGTCTGCTCTTTGTTATTTCTTAATTTACAAGTTTGATTATAAATAAAACTTAAATTTAACCATTTAACTAGCTTCTTGTATGTTCTAATACTTTGGACAGTGATTGTTGGTAAGTATTGTTTATCAACAAAGAAAATGTAAACAAAGAATAATAAACCATAAACATGATCTTCGCTCAAATTAGAAAAATAAACATTCTTCATACATTTTTTCTTAGGATATATTCTTGTTTGAAATTATGTACCTCCTTCAATGTAAGTAGAAGACAGATATTGTGCTAATCTTTAGTTACTCATTATTTATTTCACCATGTAAAAGATGCTTACCAGAACCATAATCACCGGACACGCTGAATTTTATACCTTCCTTAGTGCAAGCAAAAGTTATGGATTCCCCAAACTGACTCAAATCTCTACATATGCGAGTAAACTCTCCAGATGGCATTTTTACAACACATGAATATGTAGTTTCCTGTGAAAATGAGTGATAAAAACATCGCATATAGCTTAAATCTTGTTACTTGTGTAAATAAAAATAAATCTTACAGGAATTCCAAGATGTTCTTGATCCATATTGATCAGTTTCATCTCGTACTCCGCAAGTTTGTCTTTGTTTTGTGATTCGAATATAAAAATGATAGATTCGGGATTGTCCCATGCTCTGAGAGTTACCGTGTCTTCTCCACCGGCACATTTCAAAATCTTGGACATACTGAAAGCATTTGATAATTAAATTACACATTGTCTCTGTGAAATCTGTGATGAGTTTTCTCGGAATTGGTTTTTTTATTACATGTTTTCAAATATTAAAACATGTATCTAAATCTAACATGTTTTGCAATTCAGAAGAATTTAATGATTTTATTGTAATAAACACAGAAAGCTATATATATATATATATATCTTTTTTCTCTCTCTCTCTATCTCTTTGTTTGAAAATAATCGCTGGTCAGCGGATAACCTTCAAAAGGTTTGTTTTTGGCTCACCAACTGATGCTCATGCCCATCGATAAATTGCGATCGCAACGGTATTTGTCGAAACCGTCGCTCCTGAGATTCAACGAGACCAGAGAAACGTGCGCGTTATCCATCGCTTGGACCTGAATCCCCGAATCGGAACATTCGAACGTTGCCTCGGTCAAAAGATCCTTCACCGCGTCCAACACCTTCTTCAGGAGCGCGCTTTGTACCAGACGTGCCTCGAACATTGTGCTATCGCTTTATTGTTTCTTCGCCAAAATAAATTCGATATCTACGAATATTTGGAATTTGTTTAGTTTTTCTAAGTTTTTGCAAATCGGTCGCAGCAACAATTGTGAACAAGGTCTCGCGACTGTCCCGCGCAATTACCCGCGCTTTTGTTACCGCTGCCGAGACGGAAGTAGATGGCTCCTTGTTGATCCAGTCAACTACGTTATTCCCCTATTCAACTTCCGTCGCGCGGCAAGCATCGCCGCGTTCTATTCAAAAGATTAGGAGACACGAAAATAGAAAACAACACGATATAGGAAATACATTTACTGATACAATAGCGTACATACATTTCTCTAATTCAAGCTCGACATTTCAGTCACAATTGTATTGAAAACAAACAATAATTATAAAATGCTTACATACGAACTGTAACTTCTTACATGCTACTATCATTTAAATATAAATCCTGCAGTCTCTTATTTGTGTCACGTAAACTACGTATATTTACACATTATAAAATTAAAGTTCGTGACAATGATGGGATTATATAAGCGAGTATTCAAACAAAGACACACGGGCTCGGGAGAGAACGACTTTTTGAAGACAAATAGGTGATTTTTTTCTCAAGTAACGTTTTTGTTTTTTGAATTCAAATCTGAGACGTGAGAATTTTGTTATCACGTCACGATTTAAAGATAACGAGATTAAATCTGACGGTTTGTTGTATTGTATTCTCTTTAGGCCTGTCTGTTATCTAATAAACAAATAAAATGACAAGAAGTGTGCCCAATCTCGATTAGAAATAAATTTGCTACTTAAAGTCAATAATTTGAAGATCGTTTGACTTTGTTCACTTTTGACTTAGGTTACTTCGGCAATATTTTTTCTTATTTACTGCAAACTACTTTCTCTTTCTCAAGAACGCACTCTCAAATTCTAAAAAGTTTCACAGTTTACACAGTACTTCTGTAACTTTTCAATTTTAATTTTTCAAAAAGCCGATTTCGTCTGTCATATTATCCAGATCGTTGAACATTTGATCCAGATGCTGAAATAAGAAAACATGTATTAGATGTTTGCATCTTGAGTACAAAATTATGCAATATACTTAACCAAAGATATAATAAACACAAGGTCAATTATGTTATGCTCACATCAGTCTGTTCTTTATTTTTACGTGTTGCTTTCGGTCGTCTTTTACCGAACACTATACTACCACTATCGTCGACATCTTTATCATCTTCTTCATCACGATTATCTAGCTTCTGATCATCGTCATCGTCTTCATTATTATCGTCAACGTCATTGTCATCGTCATCATCGTCATCGTCATCGTCGTCGTCGTCATCATCGTCGTCGTCATCGTCATCGTCGTCGTCGTCGTCATCATCGTCATCGTCGTCGTCGTCATCGTCATCATCTTCCGATTGCATATTACACATTTTCATTTCCTCATAATCTATAGGTTCCTCTTTGATTTCCCTAAGCATCATTGTTTCCTCGGCAACTCCTGCTTCAGTCGGACATGGTGGTGGAGCTTCAGATGCTGAAGGTATCTGAGGAGACTGTGATGTCTATAAAAAAAAAAAAAAAAAAAAAAAAAAAAAAAANAANAANAAGTAAAATGTATCGAGATCAGTTTTTTTTTTTAATTAATATAAGAATTGAATAATAAGTTTGACTACACACACACATAACTAACACGTGAGAAAGTGACTTTGTGTCTTACCCAAGGTTGTTGTTGCTCATGTATTGTTTTAGCTGACGTAATTGAAGTTGGCGGTAACGGCGATAAAGGAGAGTCTTGTTCATCAGTTTGCGAGATTGGTTTACTTTGTACTTCAGTTTCATTCGAAGTAGTTTGCAAACACGCTTCTGTGCTATCTGTATCTTTATTGGACGATAATTTACTTGCGTAAGCAATTTTATTCTCCTTCTTGATTTGTTCGTCGGTATTTCCTTCTTTGAGTTTTTTGGACTTAACTTCATTATGATTTGTTTTCTGTTCATTTTTCGATTGTGCAGTATTATTTGCACTATTATTTGATTCTTCTTTAACGTTCTTAACATTAGAAATGGGTTTTGGTTCTCCAGGAAGACAAGTACTGCCTTGGTATCGTTTAAATCTAACATTAACGCTCTTCGAATTCCACGTCAAATCGTGAGCTTGTTTGTAAGCCGCTATCGATTCGTCTACGGTATTATATCTTATGGTGGCATATCTGCAACAAAACATCACATAAACAAGGAATCGTGAAAGTATCATTTATAAACATACACACATAGAAATTTATCTCATCTTACCGTGTGTTCCTCATTTTTTTCGAGTGCTTGACTTCTACTTCTGCGGTTGGAAATTTACTTTTTAATTCATTTAGAGTGACATTTTCGGGCAAATTTCCTATGTATAAAACATAAGGATCTATCTCTTCTGGCGTCGTATTATCCTCATTTCTCAAACATTTCTTCTCGACTTTTAAGTGTCCTATACCAAATTGAATTCTTTCCAAATCTTTTACAGCGTCGTCAATGTTCACACTGTCTGCCATTTGAATGAAGCAATATCTCGGCTTGCTTGGACTTTGAAAGTGTATATTTTGTATACCAGGGTGAAACAATTTGACAATATCTTTATTTAAATCCGGATCAGGAAACTTAATTATCAAGTTTTGCGCTGTAACCGTTTTGTTGTACTCGTTTTCAGTTTTCAGGGCTCTCTCTGCATCCTCTTTATTCCATGGTTTTTTCTGTTTATTCTTTTTTTCCACAACTTCCTCCTGGAAAATTTGATCAAATCAGCTCTTGTTGTTAACACTAAGTTTTATAAAATTTGTAACATATTAATCAATACAATTTCCACATCCTGATTCTCCCTTTCCTCGTTGCGTCTGTTGCTCATAATTCCTGGTGGAATAGGAGATATAGGATGAGCAGGTAGAGGAACTGTCATGTGTTTTATTACCGCATCTTTTCCTGAAGTAGTAGTTTTGTATCCTTGCCATTCCAAAGCAAGATTATTTGTCATTGGTGTGCCAAAATATGCAGTTTGATCATACTGGACCTGTGTCTGTTCAAATCTCGCCGGCTTTCTATTTTTACGGTGAAAGTTATTTCTCTGAGCATGTACATTGTTTCTATTGTGAGGAAACCGTTCACGACGTACATAATTACCCTTTAGAGGCATGTCTCTTTGAAATCTATTTGTGATTTCACGTGAAGTTGGAGGTGGTAAAGAAGTTTGCGGTGTCATCCATTGCCATGTATGTGCATGTGTCCATGGAATGGGAGTAACTTGGGAAGATAGCGGTCCAAATATATGAGGCAGAGGTGGGACTCCACTTGGTGGTGGCATAGGAGGCAATGGTGGTTGTCCCGGTAAAGGTTGAGTAACAGTGGGAGGACAGGATGACGACGATGAATAATTAACATATGGAGAAGCACCATATCCAAAGTTGATAGATTCTTGCTTGACAAAGGTTGGTGTTGTTTCACTATTTTCTTCCTGAAAATTACAAAGTTATAAATTATAAACAGAACATACACACACAAGGATATTCATAAAATACAGGATATGATTAAATTGCATGATATACAAATGTATGCAATCCAGAATTGCTCCATTAAATTAACGTTATTATTTTATTAGAGTTCAAACAATATTGCTGTAAGTCAAGTTTGTACCGATAACCTAAACCTAAATCTAAACCTAAACTACTATCGAATACAACATCTAACTTTGTAACAGCAAGATAATTTCATATTTTATATTACACTAAAATGACAAAAAATAAATTCTTGCCATCGTGCGCTTCATATCGCAGCAGCACTCAATGCCTTGAAATTGTGATATGTACGTAATGTGTACGTATGTATATATATAATTCTTCTCACGGTCACCATCCCACCACACTACATTGCACCTGCGCACGTATTGAGCGCGTAGACGTATAATAGACTGCGCGTTCCCTATCTTCTCTATAGAGAGGGAATGATCACAACACAGACAAAGATAGATGCTTTCACTCGTGTCTCTATCCTTGTTTGGTGATGAGGTGATTAGCGGCGTAGCGTCCGTTATCCGTTGTTATGGTGGAGTTACCTGAGTTGTTTTCTGAGTGGAGAATCCCCACTCCAGATGCTGAGGGTAGTTTCACATCTCTATCGGTTAGATTCACATTGGTTACGTTCAGAAAACTCGACAGTTGCACAACGATTCAGAGATGATCACTTGTGATAGGACTATTTCTCAAAATCTAAATCGTTTTGAAAAATATGATCCAATCATAAGTGATGTTGTGATAAATTCATTTCCTGACCGTCGGCCGGTTAGATTCACACCTATCCTAATCGGTCAGGATGTGAATTTATCTAATCAACATGTGAACCTAATCGGTCGGGAGGTCAATATAATATTATTTATTTACGCAACGTGGAAAGTTTATTTTTCAGTTATAATTGACATCATTTTAGATCCATAAGTCTAATGTACGGACGAACGATGAGCGTAACACACTCTATTTAGATTTTCACTATATACTATATACACATTGTGTATGAAATTTAATTTTTACTGAAAAGAGCGCACAGATAATTAAGCAACATCAGATATGAAATTAATTACTACACAGAATAGACAAAATAATAAGTTTAATAATACATTAGCTTACACAATTTCATAGGTTCCACTTGGTATAACGTGATGTTTGTTTCAAAAAATTCACATTGGAAAAAATACTTACAAATGCTAACGTAAACTAATGTAACTAATTGAGTACGCTACTGTCTTTAGATACATGCAGTCTTATTTGTTTACGTTATACAATCTATAAAGTATTTACAAAGTATATACGAAATTAAAGTTCATTAAATTGAAATAGATCGAGTATTTCAAATAATTAATAAGTTATTCAGGTCTTCGGAAACTCGATATTGCCTGTCATATTATCCAGTTCTTCAAACATATGATCGAGATGCTGTAAGAAGAAAGGGTATATCTCAGTTCAGCACAACAAATTTTTATCTAGAAATATTAATTTCATAAAAAACTAAACTCAATAGAGAACTAATTCTATCAAGCTTACGTCAGTTGATTCTTCTTTGTCATTCCGCGTTTTTTTTGCCAATCTTTGATTGAACACCGTATTATCATTATCGATATCTTTTTCATTATCATCCTCCACAAAATCATCTTCATCGTCAGTATCATCCAACTCTTCGTCGTCGTCGTAATCGTCATCATCATCGTCATCGTCATCATCGTCGTCGTCGTCGTCATCGTCGTCATCATCTTCCGATCCCATATTACATGGCATTTCCATTTCTTCATAATCTACAGGTTCTTGTTTGATTTCTCTAAGCATCACTGTTTCCTCAGCAACTCCTCCAGCTTCAGTTGGACGTGGTGGTGGAGCTTCGGATGCTGAAGATATCTGAGGAGACTGCGATGTCTAATAACCAAAAAAAAGAAACACTTGACAAAATATATCAAGATAAGATATAAAGTGACCTTATATCTTACCCCTTGTTGTTGTTCTTGTATTGGTTTAGCTGATGTAATTGAGGTTGGCGATGACGAGTGGAAATTCTGTTTCTCAGTCTGCAAGACCGATTTACTTTGTGCTTTATTCGAAGTATCTTGCAAACGTGCTTCTGCGCTATCTGTATTTTCATTCGTCGATGATTTAATCGCACGAGTGATTTTGTCTTCTTTTTTAGTTTGTCCGTCGTTATTTTCATCTTCTTTGAGCTTTTTAGACTTAGCTTCATTATGATTTGCGTTCTGTTCTATCTGAGTGATTTTCTTCTCCCTCTTGACTTGTCCGTCATTATTTCCATCCTCTTTGAGCTTTTTAGATTTTGCTTCAGTACTATTTGCGTTCTGTTCATTTTTTACTTGTGCATTGTTCGGCTCTTCTTTAACCTTCTTGACATCAGGCTTACCCTTGCCAGGAAGACAAGTACTGTCTCGGTATCGTCTAAATCTAATAATGACACTTCTCGTATCCCACATCAAGTCGTGCGCTCGTTTGTAAGCCGATATCGATTCGTCTACGTTATTATATCTTATATCAGCATATCTGCAATAAAACATCACGTAAGAAAATTATGAAAATAACGTTATAATTGTATGTAAACGCATGTATCTTTGTCTTACCGTGTGTTCCTCATTTTGTACGAATACCCTACATCCACTCTTGCAGATGGAAATTTGCTTTTCAGTTCCTTTACCTTAATATTGTTTGGCAAATTTCCAAGATATAAAACGTATGGATTTATGTCTTCGGGCATCGGATTATCTTCATCTTGTAATGGTTTCCTTTCAACTTTCAAGTATCCAACACCGAATTTGATTTTCTCTAAATCTTTTATAGCCTCGTCAATATTAACGTCGTCTGCCATTTGAATGAAACAATATCTGGGTCTGCTCGGACTTTGAAAATGTACAGTTTGTATACCAGGATGAAACAATTTAACGATATCTTTATTTAGATCCGGATCTGGAAACTTAATTATTAAACTCTGTGCTTGAACTATTTTATATTCATTTTCAGCTTTCAAAGCTCTCTCCGCATCCTCTCTATTCCACTTTAATTGTTTATTCTTTTTTTTTACCACAACTTCCTCCTGAAAATTCGTGTGCAGATTAGACATGACCAGCAATAAATCTAAACCATATATATTCGGCAAATATCATTCTTACATCTTGATCATCTGTTTCCTCACTGTGCCTGTTGTTTGGAACTGCTGACGGACTAGAAGGTACGGGATGAGTTGGTAGACAAACTGTCATGTGATTTATCACAGCCTTATTTGCTGGAGTTGTGTATCCGCTTGTTACTGAGTTGTTAAAGTATGCAGTTCGATAAAACTGTGACTGATAATCCTGTGACTTTCCGAACCTTGCCATATTTTTATCTTTACGATAAAAGTTATTTCTCTGAACGTACATAGCGTTTCTATTGTGTGTAAATCTGTCCCGACGCGCATAATTATTCTTTAGAGGCATTTTTTTGTGAAATGTGTTAGCAATTTCACGCGGAGCTGAGGATGATAGAGAAGTTTGCGGTGTCATCCATTGCCATGTGTGTGGGTGTGCCCATGCCGGAACAACTTGGGAAGGCACTGGTCCGAATACATGAGGCGGGGGTGGAACTCCGTTAAGTGGCGGTGGCATAGGAGGCAAAGGTGGCTGTCCCGGTAATGGTTGAGTTACAGTAGGACAGGACGGCGAGACCGAGTAATTAGCATAGGAGGAAGCGTCGTAACCAATGCTGATAGATTCCTGATTGACAAATGCTCGCTTGGCTTCATTGTTTTCTTCCTAAGAGAAAAATACAAAATCATTAATTAAAACATTACGTCCGTAGATTGACATGCTAATTTTACGATATATCCGATCAAGGTTTGACTGAAACAGCGATTATTGCATCGCGCGAACGTAAACGTTACAATTGAGCGCGGAAATAAATTTTTATCCCTGAATGATTAACCTAAATCGCGAACTCGCGAAGGGGGGAAAGACAACAATCTGCCAACAAAGTAGCGCTGTTAAAAAAATGACAAAGAGAAATCTGGTCATTACCGTGCGCTTCATATTGCTGGCCCGCTTTTAACACGGGCTTGTTTTTTATTTACGTGGATGCGTTGTGTTACCGGAGTTACAACGTAAACACATTGTACGGTAAGCATGAAGTGTAACAAGCTTACACACGGCAAAGGGTCATGTCAGGGATGCCAACACTCGAGAGCGACATTTTTTGCAGAAAATAAATAAACAAGACCGACCGTGACCCGATTTCACTGATTGCGTGAATTACGCACGTCATGCGACTCATTGTATCGTCAAAACCCCACTTTCGCAATCGTTTCGACCGACTGTCCGTTTCTTCTTTTTTTATCGATCTGAAACTGCTTCGCGCACACAATCAAAACGTGGACGCACGAGTTTCGCGATCGGACGAGCGCAGAAGCGCAACGAACGTCGAGAATGCGATTCGCGCAACAGATGCCGACAAACGCGTTCGACAAACATTTTTTAAACGTATATGGTTGTTTTTTGCACCACGTGTTTCTCTTCTTGCTATTCCAAAGACAAAAAACGCATACGTCAGCTGTACGCGTACGCGCGATTTAAATAACTCCGAAGTACAAACAGCGTATCTTGATTGACAAGCGCTGTCAAATGGTCGAATTTAAATTCTCAGATATATCACGTGGATGTCACGTGCGCGTGTCACAATAGCGTATGCAAAAACCGTCCGACCAATGAGCATCCAGCACAGCTTTATTTGTGATAAATCAATAATAGCGGATACGTTTATTGGTAATAGAGAAAAAGTTACCATAAACTCGAGACCAATCGAATCGATTGATCGGTCGACCCGACCAATGCTTGATTGTGATCAGTTTCGCGAGAAACTATAACAATCTGATTGCGATCGAGTTTTAGTGAACGCAAGCCCTAAACACTTTTCTTTCTAGTGATTTTTAGTTATGAAAAGTTTGTAATTCTGAATGACACGAGCGGTTAAAAGCCTTTAAAAAGTATTTAAAAGCTTGGCTTGCTCTCTTCGTTCACTTTTTCCTATAAGTTTGTACTGTATATATCTTGTGATTTGTAAATAAATAGGAATTTTTAATCGTTGTTCCGATAAAAATGAGAAACAGTGTTTAAATGTTTAAACAGTACTTAAATTTAAAAATTCCAAAGAGTTATTTTGTTAATATTCTTCAGTAGCGAACGAAGAGTGTTTGTGTCTGCGTTAAATTTACATAATGGAGCCCAGAAAACTGAGCACACCAAGTAAGACACGGAAAATCGATAACCCTTTGATAAATAATCTGTTTACGCATAGAACTCCGATGAAGCAGCATGAAACGCGTCCGAAGCGCACAATGTATCATCAAAATAACACTCTTACCGTTCTGCCGGGTCACATCACTCCACCTTCGAAGATGAAGGAATTCATAATTAAAAATCCGTTCGAGCCCGATTTGACCAACAGATTGCACATGTCTGTAATCAGTCCGACTGTATTTGCCAAGGTGATTTTATTTCTCTGTTTAGCTTTTTTAGAAACTGAAGATGTTGACGTTTTATGTCACACTGTGACATAAAATAAAAAAATGAAGCTGACACTGTGTGTGAGAAGAACTTGTCAATTGTTATTGTAGACTGAAAGTCCTTCGCATGAGTCTCCGCAATTTACATGGAACATAGATGAACTGGCGCATATAAAACCGGCAAAGATAGAGGAGTTTCCCATACACCAGGTACATTCTCCTGATCCGGGACTAGAAGTAAAAGCACAAGCAGCTATAAATCAGTTTTTTAAAAAGAATCAAATAATTCCTAGTCCGTGGGATGACAAGCAACTGACAAATAAGCCGTACATACAGTTGGACACTCCCAATAGACCTTTGGATGATATAAATTCTAGCAAGGATTTGTCTAAGTCTAAGAAAGACGGTATGTAGAAATCTATTTCTTTTTTTCCCTCTTCTTTGAATTAGTATTTCAATATTAATTAATTAATTTTTTTTGTAACTTCAGTATGGTGTCAGACGGTGTTGTCCTTACCTCTGAATTTACCACAAAATGTTGAGGAAGTTTTGAAGCCATTTTTCACATTTACTCAGGTTGGTGTGAAAAAAACAAACCTAATAGAACTCAAAAACAGGTCCTGCTATTAAATATACGAAATATCTTTGAAAAACTTCTTCTGTTCTTTGTAAAAGGATCAAAACGAGCAGAGTACAGACAATGAAGAAGCAAATGTGAGTAACAGTTCACTGAGAAGAAAGTTATTTTTCGCTCACGATGAATGTCACAATGATGACGAAAGTATCGCATCTCTGTCACCTCTTAAAGTCAGCGAATCCATGAGATTATCCTGCAGTCCTCCTCAGAGTGGTATGTTTGTTCATGGCACACCGTTAAAGGTATACTAGATGAATTTATACATGGTTATAAATTATGTAATTCGCCATTTTTTCTTTCGCTAAAATTAATAATTTTTTAACAGATGCGCCATACCAAACAACGAAGTGATGAATATATGATAAAACTTGAACATTTATCTCCACCTAACATGTCACCGATATTTAATATTAAAAATAACATGAAGGTTGAATCTTGTTCAGTTACTCGGTTAGATTTTATGGATATAAGTGCAGACAATATGCTGGAAGAAAAGAAACAAAGTCCACCTAATCAATGGGTATTAGGTAAATTTGAATCTTTTAATAGTTACTAATTTTTTAATTCTTATAATAATTTATATGTATAATAATTATTATTATTTTATTATTTACACAAAAAATTGTTTTTAGATACATCTCTTAATGAAAATAGTGTGAAAGATACTGAAGACAATTGTAAAGTGATAATTGTAAATAATGACAAAAGAACTCTTTGTGATTCCATTAACATAAATGAAAAATTAGCAAAATGTGTAAATTTAAATGACTATCCTAGACATTGCGACGCCACAATGTTGAATGAAAATAATTGTAATGACGGTAATTTTAAATTGAAAACTGATATGGAAACATCCGTGCACGAAGAGCGCAAGCAGATTGTCACGATGTTTAACTCGTTTGATCAACAAAATTCAAATGCGGTTCAAGACACGGGTTATCAAACTTACAGTATGAATAACACAATGCAAATAGTAGATAGTTACAGCAACACTTCTGTGAATCACAAAGTTTATACAAGTGAACAAGTGATGTCTAGAGATAACACTCAACTATCGTGGAAAGAGAACATCAAAAAGGTATTTAGTTCCACACCCTCTAAATGTAAAACTAAAAACGAATGATAATTAAATTGTTCAATTTGTAAAGTGCAAATAATCAACTTATATTGCAAAATTACAATTTTCTTTTATAAATGTAACAAACATGGGTCTTTTTTAATTGAATAAGAAAGCGTTAAAACAAAAACTCATACTTTATTTTCTTTCATTATTTTCAAATTACGCAAGAACACTACATGCCAATTTGGACAACTGGTTTTGCTATATATAATAAAAGATGCGTACATATAATCACAACATATGTTATGTCAAAGAAGAAGAGATATTGGATAAAATAATACACGTTTTTTTTTTGCAATTTTCTTCATTTGTTTCATTAGATAAAATTTTCTTGTAGTTACAGCCTAAAATATTAAATATATACTCAAGATTTATATATATAATATATATATAAGCAAAAGATCAAAAACTTAACAAACATTTTACAGCATGATTCATCTAAAATGAGTAATAATATTAATAATGATATATATAATTTTTAATATTACATTATACATATATCGTCAACAAAATTTTTATAATATACAATCTCTCTGCAGATGTGTTTATGTATGTGTAGATGTTTATGTGTATGTGTGTGTTTATATGTATATGTGTGTATGTATGAATGTAAATTAATATCTGATCTTCCAAACTCATAGAATTTTGGCATTTGGCACCATGTCATGTGTAATGGAAGCAAATCAAATACATTATGTCTTTTTGATTGTCCCTGGCTAATTACAACGACACTTTGTAATCTGCTCCATACTTTGGTGTTTTTGTCATATGATAACTTCGCTTGTCAGCCGGTTATAATAACAATAATAATAGTAATAATAATACGCCTGGCGTGTAAAGCGATATAGTTCAAAACGGATAATTGCTCGTGAAGTTCGTACGATCAACGTGATGAGAGCCGGCGCTACCCGTTAAGAATTGTGCTACGTGTGATTGGTAATACTTTTCTTCTTTCTACTATAATGCGATTATTAGAGTAACAGTCTATCGCTTCATTGTTCTCTGCGACTCCGCGATCAATGCATTGCACGTGAGCCCACTTCTCCTAAGAAAACCGGCTGACTAGAGTATTCCCACCCGATATTTTGGATTTACTGATGTATTGCTTTACGTTTATGTGACTAATCGATTTAATCTACTATCGCTTTAATCTATCGATTAGCTACGCATATTACGATGATAATATGGCATCCCACTTCTCTCTCTTTCTCTCTCTCTCTCTCTCGCTAATCGATTAATTTAGAATTACCTACATGTGGAAGAACAGATCTTTAGTCGTAGCAAACGAGAGCTAGACTAATGTTAACAAATAATGAAGTTTATAATGATAATTTTTAATACAATTATCAATTTGACGATGCCAGCTTTGTTTTTTTTTTTTTAATCGATACTATAGAGTATTTAAGGTGTGAGCAAGAATGCCACTTAAATTAATATTCATGTGTGTTTCATAGTTTTCATTAAATAACAAAGGTTATATAAATTCTCTAAAACTTTAGATGCATTAAAGTATAATAATAATGATAATAATAAGAATAACACAACAATATCACAGATAAAAATAAGATTTAAAAACAAAATACATATTGTCTGTTGCTCAATTTTGCGCATGAAGTACATCTTTTATTGAGCAGGATGCATGCAATATATATACAAGAAACATTAAGAAGTGATGCAATAAAATCAGGGCACCCTGTGCGAGTAAGTGTGTGTGTATCAAGTAAAATTATATAATTTTATTATTCTATTATATATAATTTATATTTATAGGTTTTATAAGAAAACACATATATAACCTTTTCGATAATCTTTTAAGTTATATTTTAAATAAGTTCACTTTTATATCGTAAACATGGCATTCTTTCTTGCACCTTTACAGACTGAATTTTTCTGGTGTAGCTGACTAGAGCTACAATCACACATTGAATATTTGATGTAGCGCATCCTATCAAAGTCCATTATGTAAAACTAACATATTTGAATTTTTTTTAAATGTGTTTATGATTTAAAGATTAAAAATGGATTGATATATCGTAAATTATCGATTGAACTTGCGACACAACGATGATCTTTTTTTCGTGTTTGATTGCGCGCGAACACCAAAATCAATCAATCGCGCATTTTGCAAATTGAAGAATTGTCACATCGTCGTGATGCTTGTGCAATCTAACATAAAAAAAAAAAAAAAAAAAAAAAGTATCGTATACCGCGCATATGTTTCATATGTAACAAATCAAAGATTCAACGAAAACACAATACATAAAAGATATTAACACGATCATCGTTTTAATGAACTAAATAATTATGTGTGTTTGTGTGTGTAAACAATAAATAAAAAATGTACGTATGAAATTATTCGAGCACGTTTCGCGGGAGAATCGTGAAGTGATATGTAGAGAAATCAATCAAGGTTGCGCTACAACAACGTATTCAGCTTCGAATTACTAATATTTATAATCTGTAGAATGATAAAATTTAAGCTAATAAACTGCATATATATCAGCGAATTATTAGGAAGAGCTTTTATCACGCGGGCAGCGCCCTGTGTAAAAATATATTATGTTCTCTCTATATAGAACTACATATTATGTATAATGTATACAAGACCAGTTTACCTCTAATATTCTCTCGCGTATCTTTTTTTTTTTGTTTAGCACGCATATATCTTACACATTTACAAAGTATTTTATCAAATTTCTCATCCCTAGTGTTACGGTTGTTTTTTTTTTTTTTTTTTTTTTACAAAAATAGGTTGTCTCCATATATTTCGTCTCCGTTCGATAACATCAGCGCAATCGCTGTAAGATTCAGTTTCTGAACTGAACGTCAAAAAACTGGTCTATGGATACATTAGGTCTACATATGTACAACACCGTCCAAAATCAGTGTGAAAACCACAAAGAGAGTAGAAAAGACGAAGGGATAGAATTTTTTGTTTCAAAATCATGTCAAATACATATATCTCGATTTCCGTTATTTCTTTTTTTTTGTTTTGTTTTTGCTTTCTTAGATAATACGTTTCTTTCCCACGTATGTGCGTACACGCGCAACGAGTATGCACACGCGTGTGTTTATATGCGCAAGGTGTTCCCTCAATTTTGTGCGCATAAGCGTTTATGAAAAACTTGAATAAATAAAAATTGTACCGTATGAAAGAGCAAATATGTTGTTAATTAAAAAACCACGAAATGCATGCGAACTAAACTCAGATTGCGAAAAAGACATCGATTTTTTTTTAGCGCTCTAAGTCTCGAAGTTTTTGCTTTTTAAAAGTTTCTCTCCAAGCGTAAAACTGGGAACACCTTGAACACACGCCACATACAAGCATAGATACGTGTGTATAATACATACATTTATGTATATTATATACGTGAACCGTACATAATATACTATATGTATTATACGTGATCATATACATGTTATATATACATATATATTCATATATATAATATATGCACGTACATGCACATATACATACATTTTTATATACATATATACACATAGGAGCGTGGAAACGTATGTGCATGTGATTGTTTTAAAATTATCAACTTCTCTCTATCAAATATACTGTCCGTTGTGTAGACAACAATACTTATATTTTTCACGAAATATATTAACAATGAATTATCTCAGGCTGAGAACTTCGGCCTCGATGGTGAAAAAATTGCCGAATTGTTTGCACTTTGAAAAATATCAGTTTTGTTTTTTACATTCCCGCGATCAGACGTCGTGAGATAGCAGATGTTTAATTATATATATGTGTCTCTATACATATCTACAAAAAACTGACATAGAACACTATATCGTTAAACTCTCTATGACTTCATATATATAATTGTTTCACAACAGTTCTACATAATGATTATCATTATTTTACTTCAATATTTTATGTAATAACTTCTCTCACTGATATTCCACGAAATATATTCAATTGCCTCAACAGCGTGTTTTTAAAAAGTATCTCTTTAATGACTACATCTCTATTATTGCTTGTTGTTTTAGTGCTATCGAATGTATTTTGGCATATAGCATGTTGTAAACCCTGAGCAATCACACCAATCATTTCAAAATGCATCCAACAACCCTCTTCTTCCTATACACATATATATATGTATATATATATATGTGTATATATATATATATATATACATATACATACAGATATACATATATGTATATACGCACTTCTATAAAAATTATATGGAGGAATTTACATGCGCATTCCACGTGAATGACGAAATCTCGAAAACTCGCTTAAAAAAAAAAAAAAAACAATATGCATAAAAATTGTCACATTTAGAAATGAAGGAAGGATTGGATCGATGACGTTTCTAGAAAAAAAATATTAAAAAAAAAAATTTGTTTCCAGATACGACAATAGACGAAGTTTTTAAATATTTTCTCTCATTGCGCGCTCATAAATGGAAAGCTCTCTCAATTGTTTATATCTTAATGTTTCTCAAAAAATTGTAACAAAAGAACTTTGTTAACCCCTAATCTGTTTTAGGTATCGATTTCCCTCTCCCCATTCCCGCCATTTTTTACGCCTCTTCTCGGAAGTGCTTGAGTAATCACTTGTGGTAGAACGTCTTTTTGGTTTTGAAATACCTTCTGGTTTCGATGCAGGATTAATATCTTGCGTTATGTAATGCGTTCTATTATGATTTGCTGTTGTACTAACACCGGCCAAGTTCAGAAGCGCGTCTGCTCCTTCGGCAATCTTTCTTTGTTCGTCGAAATCTGCAGCTACTTCTTCTTCACCTGAATGTTTACTGCGGAAGAAAAAAAAAGATACAAACTGATAAAAAAAACCCCCCGTCCGGGCAACTTTTGCGCCAATAAAGAGTTGACAGGTGTTATTTACCTTTCCAATTTTATAGATGTGATACAACTGTAGGTATGATCTTCGCTGGAACTCCTGGTAATTACAGGCACCAATTTTTCGGATTCCGTTAATTTTCGTTTACGATCTACATTAAAACACAAAAAAAAATATATACATGTATATAATTGTGTGGCCATTTCTCTTTTCTGTTATATTATTAGATTTATACACTTGAAGTATATAAATTATATATCTGCAACGTACCTTTATTGTGATTTAAAATGATAGGTCCGTGTTTGAAAGAAAGCATAGCTGCAGCTGCCGCATCAACATCGCTATCTATCTCGGTTTCCGTGTTATCGTTGATATTGCTAGATGCCAGTCTTTTGGATAGATATGGAAAAAGAACCGGATCCGGGAGACGTGTGTTCGCGCACTTTTTGGGAGTTTTTTCCAACGCGGATAGATTTTGGGTTGTGGGAGGTGGAAAAGGCGCTCGAGACAATGCCTGTATTAGATTGGGACGATATTGTGCGTCCACCATCCACAAGGATCCTTTGCCTAGATTCTACAAAAAAAAAAAAATAGAAGTGAAATATGAAAATCGCGCGTAATTATACGCGCATAATTCGATATCATCAATTTTACGATACTTTTTCAAAAGAAAAGAAAAAACCGATATTGTACAATACTTACCGGAGCTTTTTCTACTTTCCGAAAGCACTTGTTGAGGCTTAGATTGTGTCTGACAGAATTTTTCCATCCGGTTGGCGCGTTCCTAAAGTACGGGAAATGATCCAAAATCCATGCGTAAACTTCCTTTACAGGCAGCGCCTTTACCGGACTATCCTCTATAGCCATAAATATGAGGCAGGAGAATGAATACGGTGGTTTACTATTTTTGTGTAAATGAGGATCATACGGTATGTGAGTAGGATGCTTGTTGCGATTAGACATTGGCAAATTATTGTTGCTCAAAGAGATCTTTGTTTGATTACTTGGTGAGGTGTTGCAGCTTTTTATAGATTCCTCAAATATTTGCGTTGATTTTTGATACTTCTCGACGGGACGCTGATAGTTTTGTTCATTTCCGTTTAGCGTCATGATGTTTGTCTTCCCATTACTCTCTGCGGACAGTACCGTAAGATTTTTAATAAACATTTAATAAATCATATCGTATGGGGGGGAACTAGACAAGTAGCGAATATGTGTGTTTTTTTTTTTACCTGAACAGAAACTATCGTCCAAGCTTGATATAGAATTCGTGTTTTCCGAAAAATCCGCCATATCCTCGCATATATTGTTGTTCAGTAGATTTTCGTGTTTCATATCTTTGGATGGATTCGAAATTTCTAAACCCTTAAGTAAGTTCTGTTGATGCAGCCAACTGAGGGAAGTTAACTCGTCGTCCGGTTGACTAGTTCTCTCGACAGGCTTTTCACATCTCGGAATCTCACCCTGATACTTATTAGTCGAATTTGCATCAGCCAGCACACTGGTATTTTCTTTCTCCTTGTCGTTCATCGTATAGGCTGTTTCTCCAAATTTGTAATCTTGAGAAGAGTTCAGTTTTATGTCGGTTTCGACACCTGACGCATCCGGCCTATCCGGTGGCATGTTGGATAGAATTGCTTCGTCACTGCAAAACACAAATTGTTGTTTCCTTTAATTGAAAATTATTATCCAAAAGATGAGAGAGAGAGAGAGAGAGAGAGAGATCATGCGAGTGTTTGAAAGAGTTAGCGACGAAAAAAACATTCGAAACTTTAATTTTTAGCGCCGACCTATTGTCTTGAATGGCGTCGGAAAGATTTTGATCTCTTTCGGGCAGATATCGTTCATTTATTTATTGCTTTTTTTTTTCGGCTGGCAAAAGAAACACTCTTGCCATCTGCTTGCTTTTAAAGTCCCGTGTGCGCGCGGAACGGGAGAGTCCCCGATCCTCCCGGGGACGGAGGCGCGCGCGGGCGATGCGTCGATATATCGTATTACGATGTAAAAATCGCCACGAAAACGGCAAGAAATAGATACGGCCGCTTTTCTATTTTTGGTGTGCGCCACGTGAAGCGAGATACGCGAGAGAGCATCATAAGCGAGCGACATCGGAAATTGAAATCTGCGCGCATGTGAGAATCTTGCGCTCCCGTTTGTGCGTAACTTTTACATATGTATATTGTATTATAAGCCTCGATGCCAGCCGTGCACGGGGGAACACGCAACGTCGCACGCACGATTGTTTATCCGCTAATAAGCGACAAAATGGCCGGCGCTTATATCACGCGGATTTGCGAAAATTTCAAACGGGTTTCGTTTCCGTGAATTGAAAAAAATGTCATTAGAACGAGGACGTGTTCGCGTTCTGGGTTCGCGTGCCGCGCGGCCACGTCGCAAAACAGCACATCGTTTCGTCTCGTCGCCGTCGCGTACCGTCGAAAATCCCAGGACACATTCGCGAACGGAATTTTGCAACTAACGGCGTTGCCATCCGCGTCGCGCACTTCCGCGTTTGTTTCCTTTTTTTTTTTTTTTCACGCTTACATTTAAATGAGAAATTATTAACCGATCGACCTGCTACCTCGCAAGCGAACCTCGCATATCTTCGTCGAACGCGAGAACGGGAGAGAATGGTTTCGCCGCAAAATTTCACTTAAAAAAATCCGCCTGTACCGCGCACTTTGCGACGATCCTCGTGGCGGAGAGTCCCCGAAGTCTTCGGGGATCGCGACACTTTCACAGAAAGAGAGAAACAAACAAATCCGCACCAAAATTCCTCCAGCCCCCCGTCGGGGATTCGCGACGCGACGCGAAACATTTTTTTATCTCTGCCTCCTCGTCGATCGCGCGAATCGCAAAATCTGTATATCTCGCGTTTTTGCGTGACAGATTTGGTTTTCTTCTCTGTATAAACCTCTCGCGAAACTCGCTGGCATTTGTGCGGTATTTTGTGTACCGGCTCTCGATCGCGGATTGAAGTTGAGCGACGTCGAAAATCGGGATCCGCGTCGACGACGACGACGACGACGACGATGAGCAGCAGCGTGATGACCTGCATTTACTTGTTGAATTCAAATATGGAGTTGATAATGATTACGAAACTCTCTCTCTCTTGAGAGAGAACAAATGCGAAAATGGCCACGGCATTACTTCGCCGCACGCGATTATCAACATGGTGATGATTCGGCGCGCACTCTCGTGAAAATTACATAAGATAAAAAAAAAAAAAAAAAAAGAAAAAAACGCGATGCCGAAAAAGAAAGCGGTGTCGCGAAACGCGAGAGCTCTCGGCTCTCGGCGTCTTGTGATACGTACAAAATTTTATTCACCACACACAGCACACGTTTTTTTTCCTCTCTCTCTCTCTCTCTCTCTCGCTCTTTCCGCGATTTCTCTCGACAAGTTTGTACACGCGTGATAATATCGAAACGCGTAGCGAGAAAATTTTTTTCGCGCGTGCAATTAACTCAAATCCGGATTTCGGAGAGCGAAAATCGGCCTCGAGAGCTCAGTTCTCACGTGCGAAAATCTCACATCTCTTTCCTCCTCCTCCTCCTCTCTTTCTCTCTCCCTCGCTCTCTTTCGATTTCTCGTTGGCATGTACTCGAGCCCTCGCGACGACGCATCGTTTTATCGTAATATCAATTTTTCTCGCTCAGTTAAATAGCTTTTCCGAATCTCTCGTTTGATCGTCGAGCGCGAAATCGAAGCGATCGCGAGCTGCACGCGCACAAAACTCTCGATTGGGAAGAAACTCACGTTTTCAAGCGCACGAACGACAGTCTTCGTTGGTTTTCTAAAGACGGACATCGCAGGCACACTCTACACAACATCCAGCTGATTGAGACGCCATGTTTTGACGTCAGCACGTGTCTATCGAAAACACACGATTTCGCGAATCGCAATTCGATCGCTCGCGATACGCACCGCGCGATATTTTACATCGAGATGACAATTTGGTTCAAAAAAACAGACGCGCGTCACACTGGTTTTTTGCTCGCTAACTCAACTTTTATTTCTCGACACAATACAATATAGAACATCGCAATAGAGGTAACAATTTTCTATCTCTTTCTCTCTCTCTCTCGCTTCTGAAAAAATTTTATACAATTTTATATATATATATATATATATATATATGTATAATAATGTTGCGTGTCTGTACGATTCTCTCTACAAAGTGCTTCCTCAGTAATCAACATTGTCACAGCCCCTGAGAACATTTCGTATAAATTAACAAATCTCTAATTGTTATTCTAATTGCGTCAAGACAGAATATCGCACGCAACAAACAAAAATAATATCAATTTATATCATCGCGCACGCACACACATACACACGTGAAACTTTCACTTCTCACACGATGCGCGCTTTTCGTCGCGCCGGATCGCGCGCGCGAGTCGTCGTCGTCGTCGTCGTCGTCGTCGCGGCGATTTGACAACTCTTTGATTTTCGAATCAATTCTGGCGCTCGCAAACAATCCAGCAAACAAACAAGCATCGCGTCGTGCCGCTGGCATTCTCGTTATTAATACAAATTCTTGCAATCCTGATTTTTTCTCTCTTAAATTATGAATCATTCTCATATTGTATTTTTTAATGAGTATAAAATTAAATTGTCTTTAATTGATTATAAAATTACAGTAAAGATAAATATGTATTATATATTGTAGTGCTATAATACACAGCAAAATATGCATTTCGCACAGTACAGGGGTAAAGGTTTTTAAAGCTGTTGAAACAACATATCGATCAATGGCACAATCATACGCATTTTTTGTACTATATGTTACAAGCTTATGTAGATTCGCACAGAAGTGTTTTGTGTAATAATACTAAACAAATATTAAATGTACAAATACTAAAACAAATACTAAATGTTTGAATAAAATTATTTGTTGTTTTATATATCGATACCGACAATGCTTAACAATAGCTACCCTAGCGTTACTGACAGAAAATGTTTTTTATCAGCACGCGTAAAAAAAAAATGCATTAAATACGTATAGAACTGTTTTTTTTTTTTTTTTTTTTTTTTTTGATAATACATCATATTACAGTAAAACAAAAACTTTATATTTGTTATACATACTTGGTGGCGAGATACCAAACGCACAAAAATAATAAAATTGATCAAATATCAAGATTTCAGTAAAAAAAACAAAATGTTCAAAAGTTCTAAAATGAGGATCTTTTATATTATTAAAAAAAGATCTTTTTTTATTATATTAAAAAGAGAATATTACAAAATTGTCTAGAATCTGAAATATTTAATCTATGATTTTTAGATGCCTTCTTATACCGCAGATTTTTCTATAAAGTCTTTCTAAGAGAAAACGTACGCGCATCAACTCAAATTTCAAACGCAAGCATTGCATACTCTGACAGGATGATCCCATCCTCTGAAAGGTACAGGTTTGCGATGCGGTGAGCACTCCTGACACACTCCGCGTCCGCAAGCTCTGCAGTGATGCAAAGGAATCACGTGGGAAAACATCAGTTTGCATATGCTACAGCTTATAATTTCTGAATCTGGTATCCAATACGACGGACGTACAGTGTCTTTTATTAATGCTGGAAAATGATTAATTTCTATTGTTTTTAATGCATCATACTTGTGAATGTATATATAAAAATTAATATCCACAACCAAATACTAGTAACTCACTCTTAGAATAGGTAAAAACGTTTCCAACAACGTTGAAGGTCGATACTACGTGTTCCGTCACTTTTCGCGCGTTAACATCTTTAACAGGTTCATAGAGACTGCTCGAAGGAGTTTCTTTCTTGTAACACGCATTGCAAACCCTCACAGGTGTGAACCAATTTCTATGAGGCACACATTTCGTATTGGCCGAACACTGACCGCAAAAACCTTCTCCGCAATCTCGACAATGATGTTTATCGTCTGTGATACCAAAATAATATTTGCATTCGTGACAGTATTGTATCTCACTGTTCGATCGCCAGTAAGAAGGCGCCACTTGATCCGCGGCCCAAGCTTTCAGTGCTTTTGAAGGTTGCAGAGAAATGTTCGTAAAACTTTCGCTAATAGACGTAACGCTATCGATGACTCGTTGCGCTGTATTTTGAGACGCTCCAGAAGAATTTGGCTAAAATATTGGAAAAAAAAACAGTATAAATTTGTAAAAGTTCGAGAAGGGATTGAAAACACGACAAATACAAGTCGCCTCCGTTATTACAATACCGTGTTCCACACGTGCACGGATTTTTGAGCTACGGCAACATCCTCCGCATCGTTCCCGTACCAATACTGATTGCTTTTGTATATTTCTCCACAGTTTGGACAATTTATAGTGTATCCTGACCAGATAGTCGGAGCAAATTTATACCAAGTACTTTGATCACTCTCTTGATAACGTTTGGTTACCTCAACTTCGTTTCCATTTGTTTGACATTTTTTGCAAATATAAACTGAGTTCTCATACTGACACTGAAATTTGCAGCTGCAACAGAGTTCTTGATGCAGTTATCGAAGAAAAAAATATCATTTCCGTGATATTACTTAAGTAATATCGCAGAAAGGAGCTAATATTCGATGAGAACTAACCTAGCATTGCTCGTGTGGGGTTTTCCCTCGCTAAGATGTCCCATACTGTTGATACATCCAGCGTCACAACTCAAACACTTGACAAGACAAGTAAAATACTGTTGTGGAAATGAACCGAGAGAAAGATTCTCCATTTCATCGCGAAGCTTATGTAAACTCTTGAGTGCTTTATAAACCAGATACGGTTTTCTCGCCGAACGAACAAGATTATTGTCCAATTCCATTTTGATAGCAGCTCGCACTTGTGTATAATCCGTTGCGTTATTCATTGTTTGCAATCCAACGTATTTAATAGAACTAAAAGCATCAATTGTTAAATTCATCATTTTAAATTTGGCTTTCAAGATATCTTCCGCAGTTTCCGAATCATCTGAAAACGTATCGTATATTAAGAGTATTGTTATTAATAATAAAAATGTTTAGACTGAAAGTAATGAGATAGCGATATGTACTGTTGGTCAAAGGTTTAGTGTGTCTAGTTTCATGCAGCACTATAACACTTGGTCCAAGTGTGCCCCATGCGTTAGACATATCCTTTTGCTGCCCTATTGCTTCTAGAGCAGCTTTGAAATGCTGGCTATAAGCATGCGATGCAGTACTCAGAAAGACGAATAAATCTCTGTTTAGTCTTTCCGAGCGAATTTCATAAATTACAATATCAGATATTGCAAGTACTTTTAACAACAGTTTTGTGCGTTCATTCTCACAGTTTGTAATACCTGAGAGTAAATAATAAAATTTGTTAAATTTAATAACATACGTAAAGATAGAAAAAAGCAAAGGAGAAAGAGAGAAATTTATTTTATATTTGAAAAAAAAAGCTATAAATCTTTTTACCTTATAAATTTTCTGAAAAATATTTACCTTGTAAACCTTCCGTATCCAAGCAAATAACATTGAGATCTGGATCATAAGCAGCCCAAACACCCAATGTGCAAGAAACCTGTTCATTTGATGTTTGAAATACTTCTGCGCCTTTAAAAAACATATGATTCATAGTATAACTTTTTCCTTCACCGGTGTTTCCAAATATGGAAACAACTTTTACTTTGCTATTCTTTGGACTATTCAATTTTTTTAAAAATTTCTCTGTACAAGAAACTTGTAGATTTCCCTTCTCATCCAACAACAAGAAGCTCTTGTTGATCTTGTCCAGAAGAAGCAAATCGGGCATTATTTCGGGTTGCTTTTCAAAACTGTCCAAATTATTGTTCAAACTTTTCATCATAGTGAAGACTGTTGAATTTATACACGCTGGCTGTCGAAATTCTCTTTTCTACATACATAAAAGAAAAAATATTCATATACACAAATTTGGTCGACAAACACTTCATGCTCATCTATTTCCTAAAAATACATTAAATCCTTCAGCAGGCACGTAGTGACATTGATTGCACAACATTTCAACAATATTTTTTTTTTTCACAGAATACTAAGATTTTCTCCTCGGCACATTTTTTTAATTGCCAATATTTCCAAATTGAAAACATTTACGATTCGATGATAAACTTGCAATATCATCTTTTATATGTATAAGCAATTGTAAACAAAACTGGTTACAAAGTGTAACACTCGCATTTTGATAATTATTAAATTTTTTAACACACACGCTCGCCGAAGGATTAAACTAATTAGTACTTACATGTTTATAAGGGTTAATACTTTTTTGTTATATATATCACAAATATATCGATACTCTCTGCAAAGAATATACTTTATAAACTATACACACACACAACTTCCAAACGCGAATTATAACAACTTCGTGCGAATCCCGTGGTCGTAAGATAATAAACGACGCACCTTATACCACGAATTGTACACACTACAATGATGGCTACATTTGCCGAAAAAGTGAACTGTGATTCGTCCGAATAAGATCACGTGAGAGCGTTAAAAAACGTGATCTCACGCACGTTGCTCAATCAACGTCTCTCGCTTATCAAATAAAACAATATATATACACTTGCAATTCATCGCAAAAATTAAATATCTGATCTCTCGCCCACTTCTCCGACTAATTTAATCAACCGATTAAATTTACAAATTGTCATTTTAAAACTAGTTGTTTTTTTTAAACTTAACATTTCTTGCCAGCTGTCAAGGAAGTTTGAAGTTTTGCAGTTGGTAAATTAGTGAAATTTAATCGACCGATTAGATTAATCGAAGATGGCGAGACCGGTCCTTACGTTCGTCATCCGGACTTGTGAAATGAAAATTTTAGCCAATCAGAACGAAGAACGCCAATCTGAAATTTAGTGGACTTCGTCTCGATTGGTCGGACTTCGATCTAATCCCGATCTAAATAAGATAAATTTGATACGGGCTTTATAACAAGAATTATCTATATATAAGTATCGATATTTAATTGCCGAGCAAGTAGCGAGTCTGTTCAGCTGCACTTTCCGAGGGTTTTTGTGTGCAATTTTGCGATTGAAGAGATACGAGTGTGTATTCATCCGTTCTCGAAAGAGAGAGAAAAAAATTGCGATATATGTATATATTGCAGAAAGTGCAAATAAAAAAAACAACAAAGTTTTACCGATTTTTATAAGCGGCTGGTCATTAGCGGGCGAGATACTGATTGGTATCGCGCGCGTACAAATGTTTCTGAAACGACCGAATGTGAGGTTGATTTAGATCTGACGAATTCGCACGTAACTCGATGTAATAACGTTTCCCCAAAAGTCTCGATTTGTTGTTTCGTTTTGTGACGCTGCGAATTACGATCCTGGCGATAGCAATAGAATTTCGAGTCTGATCACAGCGGCATGTTGCCGCCGTTGAGGAATCATCGGTCCCGGCGTTCGAGCTTCGAGACATGTTCTTCGAAGTCGTATCCGTGGCAGTGACCCACCCTAATAAAATTGCATTTATCCGCGCGGACTAATCAAACGATGGAGAATCAGGACGACCGAGCGTTTAAAGCGAACGAAAATGGTACGTTATCGAACTCGATAGCTGTAAATCGTCATCGACGATCGATGAGACTTGACTCACTATTTAAGAATGTCATTGTTTTAACAAACTATTAATATATCTTATTCAATTGCGAAAAACAAAAGAAATCGGAGGAAAGAATATAGCTTCTAAATTTAATCAAAAAATAACATCAAAAGTTTTATATTACGTTTTTTTTTTTTTTTTTAAATACGAATCCACATTAAATTCTTATCACATTCCACAATCAGTCTTTTCTTCAACTTTTCCATTGTTGTTTTTCTAGCTGTCTTTTTTTACAAATTTCCGTACTAACTAAATGTTAGGATAGGGATAAGACTTTATATGATTTCTTTTTCTATATGTTTGTTATGACACGCCAAAATATAATCTTTGTACACTATTTATTTTATTGCTATGTTAAATTTGTGTTACAATGCTTAACTTTTTAATGTACTTAATTGTAATTAATTATTTGTTATATAATCAGAGGATCTGCAAACAAAAGTTAACAGACTGGAGTCTGAAAATATTAAGATGCGGGAGGAGTTTAACATGCAAAGAGCCAAGATGAAAGAATTGTTTCTTCAAAAAGAAGGTACGTAACGCTTAAAAAATTTGACGTTTGATTAGATTTTGCAACAGTTTTTACATTCAGAGTTGTAATACATTTTTCATTGTAGAAGAATTAAAACGAAGATTAGAGGAAAATATAGGCCTGCAAAAAGAAAATTTGAGACTAAAAAATGAACTAGACGAAGCTAAAAGCCAATTAGTTGTTGCTGATCTTAAAATACAAAATGATATAATGGTAGAGAAAAGGAAAGCTCAAGAAGAAATAGCATCTTTACAACAGGTTATACATGAAACAGTGGAGGAATCTTCTTGCTCGAGGAAACAACTCGTCAATGAAGTGTCCAAGTTACAATCAGCTCTTTCCAAGCTTCAAGATGAAAATACGCTACTCAAAACACAATTACCACGTGATCCACCAACAGATGGACCACCAATATCTTTATCTACAGTAACTAAAACATTAGCTAGAAAAGTGGTTTCACAATTAGGTGCAGATTCTTTGTCTCTAGGTCCTGATAATTTAGAAGAAAGTATGCGGAAGGTAAAAAAATATGTACGTAAATTTAAATGCATGAAACAATTAACGCTGTGTAATTACAACAATTTCTATGTTATGTAACATAATAGCAAGACAAGGTGGGACGATCTTCGCCACCTATACACGTACTGAAAGTCCATTATATGTATATACATAGTGTATATAAATTTCTTTATGTAATTGAAACACCAACATGTTATATACATATATATAAATATAAAACAATAGTTTTTAAGATTTACATGTAATTTACGTGTATATATAAAGACACGAAAACTGACATCTTACAGGCACAAGAAGATGCAGAAGTTTTACGTTCATTGGTTGTGCCACTTGAGGAAGAGATAAAAGCTTTAAAAGAAAAGTTAAGATCAACTGATGATGAATTGCAGAAGTGTAAAGAAGCTTTATTAAAGAGGCGACAGGAGCCTGGTTCTTTTGAGCCGTCATGTGATATGTGTGCGAATTATGAAGCGCAATTAGTCAAAGTGGAAGCTACTGCCAAGGATTTGGAGAAGCAGTTATTAGATTCTCAGCGTATGCTGCAAGCTCAAAAGGAAGATTTAGCTAAGGAGGTTGAATTTCGTAAGGAAATGGAGGGAAAGTGGAATGAGAAGAAAGAGGAGCATAAAATCAAAGTTGCTGAACTCACGGTTACCTCGCAAACAGCGCAACAAAATTTACTAGATTTAAAAAAAGCTTTTGAACAAATTCAAAGAAATGTGTCGGAAGAACTTTGTAAATTAACACGAGGTAGAGAAGAAGTACAAAGACATCTCACTGCGTAAGATTTCTTTGTAATAAATGTATTTTAGCGATGTGTATTGTATTCATAATATTTACGAATAAGTGATGTTTGTTATGTTGATATAACTTTATTCAATATTTAATTCTATATTTGCAGATTGCAAAAAGAAAATGAAACTCTTGTTGGTAAACATAGCAAGCATTCGCAACAACTCCAAAGTGAAAGTATCAATATGCCAAATACCGTCGAAGAATTGCATATTAGTCTTTTAAAGATGCGTGAAGATTTAATTACAGCGAGAGTAGCACAAGAGGTTGCGCAAGAAAAAGAGGAAACATTACGATACGAAGTTACTTTGTTAAGAGAACAAATGGAACAAGAGAACAGAGCTATAGAACAAGATAATACTGCGTTAAAGAATGAAATAAGTGGATTGAGGTAAGAAGTAATGTAAAAAGAATAATAAAATTATCAATTTTTTTACCGTTATAACTTGAAACATACTTTTCTTCTGAATAATTGCAGAACACAATTAGATAAGTACGTAAGAGATCATCGTGCACTCGCTGACAAAGAGGAGAAACTTGATCGGCTAGAAAAACAACTTCAGGAAATCCAAAAAGAAAAGAAAGACGCAGATTTAGCTATAACTGAGTTGCGACAGCGGGTTACTAGTCTACAGCAGGAGTTAGACACTAGCGAGGCCGTACAAAAGGACTTCGTCAGATTGTCACAATCGTTGCAGGTAAGACAAAGAAAACTCGTTAGATTGGAAGCTATAGAAATAAACAACTTTATTATAATGGATTATGGTTGTTGTATTTTAATGATTATGTAAGGTACAATTGGAAAGAATTAGACAGGCAGGTAGCGAAGTAAGATGGCAACATGAAGAGGATGTTGATGATTGTCCTAGTTGCCATATCACGTTTTCGGTCACAAAAAAGAAGGTAGATAGACAAAAAAATAAGTTGAAAATGCGTGGGTCGTATGATACACAGTACTAAAAACAATTGACGATACATATAGGTGCATTGCCGTCACTGTGGCCATATATTTTGTCAATCTTGCCTCTCGCACGTTGTGAATAGCGGGCCGAAACAAAGACCATCTAGAGTCTGTGATGTTTGTCATACTTTATTAGTGCAAGATACCGCACCGTATTTCAGCCAAGAACCTCCACATACACCTGATTAAATGTTCCGAACTGAATTCTAATGCAGTTTAGTGAGAGTTGTGAAATATCAATTTGGTAATTTAAAATATATTCTGATTACTATATTATGTATTTAACAAGAATATTCTAGTTACATTAAGTTACGTTTTAACAGTTTTTTTTTTGCTTGCAGAAAAAAAACAACATATGCAAACGAGAGCGAGATTTAGATAAGATTTAGATATGAAAATTGGAGTGATATACAGCAAATATCGTGTAAATATAAAGTTATGTACTACTTAACGGTTATATTGTAATTTAAACTGATTAAAGCTTTTGAATGTATGTGAGTTATCCAAAATAAGATTGAGTATTTATATATTACATATATTATCTTTCTTTACTCTTAATTTTTTTTTTTTTTTTATAAGTATTTCATATAGTTTAACGAAAATTGTGATAAACTTTCGAAACAAGTTTGTACATAAAATCCGAGTTTTTTTCCACACTAGTAGAAAATTTGTTTTTTAATGTATATTTAATTTTAATTTAATTTTATTTGTGTATGTTTGTTTTTCTTGTAATAAATGATTAACTTAGCAATTTTTATTTGCTAATTAAATGAAAGATAAAATATAATAAGATCTAAGCGATTATTACTTAAATTTATTACTCCTTGATTGTACTAACCTTAATTATACAAACTTTACAATATTAACGGATACACCATTGCTCGACATATATATCTAATGTGCCTAATAAAATTCTCAGAACTTAAGTATAATACAAATTAATAATTGGCGCAAATTTTAAGGTTTATCTGAAGATGTGTCTTTAGTATGGTATGTGATATGAAAGCAAAAAGCAAGCGCGCATCCACAGCTTTCAATTGTCTATATTTGTTATATTTAGGAACGAAACGTATGTATGTGTGTGTGATCAATACAAAAAAAAAAACTTTATATAAAATATGAAACAAAATATATTTTTAAATTTAAGATAACAAAGTCACGCTTTACAAACTGATGAAAGCAACACTTCAAACTACATGGTTATTCATTCGAATTTTAAAAGCTTTACTATCTATCTTAATTATTTATACATGATGTTATCACACACATTCATTCTGATTTGTATGTTGATGATTGTTTGTGTGCTTTAAAAAATTATACACAAAAAATTATACGTATTCAAAGTTTATAAAACTGAATAATAGATAAATTAGAACAAATTACAAATGCTTTCGGTAAATAATCCATACTAGGAAAAATAAAATGTAGATAAGAAATCTGATCTATTTAAAAAAATTAAAATTATTAACCTGTAGCAAATGTTTTATAGTTTATGTATCCTCCTCAGACCTAAAAGTAGTGAAATTTTTTTCAACATTTTGCAATTTTTTTCTGGGTTGGAAAAAGTCATGTAAAAATACACTACAAATATATATAGACAAAGAACTTATTCGTAGTTTTTAATCAGGAAGTTTGTTTTAATGTAGTCTTTACATTTATATTACAAAAAAATTTATAATAAGATTTATAATACAAAATAAGAATTAAATAAGAATATAATACAAAAATGATATTTTAAGGATTGGCTACTGTCCCAGACAGTCTCGGTACATATGCTATTCTTAGATCTACTTAGATTCTCTTAGAATAGCATATATATACATTAAGCCTTATTATACAGGATGTTCGATATAATAACCACATCGCTTCTTGTGGATAAATAGAGCGCGTTGTACCAAGTCAAAAAGTTCTTTATTATTTTGCGAGTTTCGCAATAATCAATAAATTGTTAACACATTTGCAACCAACGATTTTAGAGTGAAACATTATCTGAAGACCGCAAGATTCTGCTATTTAAATGAGTGTAAATATACAAAATATTATGCTTCGTCATACACTATGTGTTCATTAAACAAATAAACATAGATTTCAAAGTAACGTAGAACTACTTTGCCGGAAAGCCAAAACTGAGAACACTGCTGGTCGCGTAAACAAAGATCCGCCATTGAGCGCCTAAACAGACAGCATTTTGCGCGCTCACGATTGCTAAACGCGTAACAATAAGAGAATAGCTTTATATAAATAATAGTTACTATAAATAATCGATTTACAGAAAACTGTAGTTTTTTCAGATCATAAATATCAAATTTATTTTATTGATTTTGATTAAAAACCAAACTTTTCCCGCAAAGCACAAAAAACACTCGGGCTGTCTTTACGATGGATGCACGTTTCATTCGCGGATTTTTACAAATTATTAATAACTCATTTAATTATTGCGAAACTCGCAAAGTAGTAAAGAAATTTTTGACTTAATACAACTTGCTTTAACTATCCACAAGTGATACGGTTATTATCGGACACTCTATATGCAGCATGCTATGTCGGTGTGCAAAACTGGCTAAAACTTGGAAAAAAATCACGAATTTATGTAACTTACAGGTTACGGAAATACTGAGGAGGGTATATATTTAAAAACATATTTTGTGACGCAAAACTCCCCAAAATATGAAAACAGATAAATATCAAATTTAATTCAATACAAGTTTGAACTTAAACTAAAACATAAGTTTTACACAATGTCACAGACATTTCCTATTTCTTTCACTTTTTTTCAAAAATAAATTACAAGTTTCAACAATTGTTTTACTTTTTCCTGGATCACAAGCCTCGAGTAGGCCTAAACATCGTTTTCCGGATAAGGTACAGTTATTGTTTGAATTTAATAAATTTTTTTCCCAAAAATAATATGTACCATATGTAATTGCACATTACGCATGTAGTCAATTTGCGTTACAAAATAACTACACAAGACGTATATAACATATTAAGGCTCCTGAGTACTTACTACAGCCTTAAGACGTCAAAAGCCTTAATCATGCAACTCACAACTATTTTATTAATAAATTTTTTTTAACTGTAGAACACAGGAATGACTCTCGTTTAATCATACGTACCAAATTGTGATTAAAAAATCTCGGTAATTATGCAGTTTAGTTTCGCCCCTCTCCCCCCCATTCTTTTGTAAAAAAAAAAAGGAGAAGTACATAAGTTTTTCGAGCTCCCCCGACTGATTCCTCATTACACTGACCAAACAAAACCTTTAAAAAAAAAACCGAGTTACAATAGCCAAAATGGAGAAAAGACGCTAAACTGCATAATTACCAAAATCTCTGATGTGAGATTTATATGTTATTATTTTGGCCCAATATTCTCTGAATGTAATCAAGATCAGCAACCTGTTCGATGGTTTCGTTTTACGACTTAAAGTTGGAATGAGACTTACTAAATTATTTTCCGAAATTTCTGATTGTATGTAGCACTGATCGTCACTAAATCACATCGCGAAATTTCTTTTTTATACATCGTTCTTTTAACCACCGACTACTCAGCTGAATGGTACTGATGAAATAATTGTGTAAGATACATTACGAATATGAACCGGTGTATATAGAAGAATTTTCCTTTGCGGAGAGATTCAGTGGTTGTCTAGTGTAATGCAGGGGTTAAGTCAAGGTCAAATTTTCGAAAAATCAACTTTTTTTTTATATTATCATAACTGTAACTGTGAAAAATGTTCCAAGAGTGTTGCATAACACGCTGCCATGCCGGTTCCCGTGAACCGTCGTTGACTTTTTGTTTTAACCAAAAGTATGAGTCTTAACTTCTTGTGGACACGATTTCTTAAAACCTAAAGATATTCAAGCAAAAGTCTATCACCGGTTTGTGGGAATTGGTGCAGAATAAACGAAGTCTAGCGTCAATTCGTAAGAATCGGCGTGGCAGTTAACATTTATAAAAATACAAAAAAATGAAAAAGTTATGTGTAGTGCTGAATTCTAATCACACGTTTCTCAAAACATTTTTTTCAAAGCGACGAGACACACTAGATATTTTGTATTCAAGTATCACGGATACCAAATTTTGTGCTTCGACATGCGCAGTGTTCTCAGTTTTGGCTTTCTTACAGCATGCTGAAACGGTGGAAGAGATGCGCACAACAGCGTTCATGCAGTTCACGCAGTTAGAACTCGTAACTGCTGTAGTGCGCATTCTTTCCATCGCTTTAGCATGCTATAAGAGACCCAAAACTGAGAAAACTGCATATAGGTTTGTTAATATTTTTAGTATTCTATGCTATTGCAATAACAAAAATCTTTTTTCCTTAAATTTTGTCATTTTACCAGAGAAGTATAAACTTTTAATTAGCACAATTCTCACCGCAGATGCGAGTTATTATCATAAAACTTCAGACAATTCTAAATAACTTTGTCATTTTTTAGATTTTTCTTTAAAAAAATGGTTTTTTTTTTTTTTTGTCAAAATGCAATATAAATATATCAATGAAATAACGTCAATTTGGTTATATAAGTTCGAAAAATAAACAATAATAAACTTTTTCGATCACTTTGGCTTGACCCCTTAATTATCTTTCTTTATAGTTTTCATGTGAGGCAGATGAGTAACTTTCGTACAAATTAGACATGCTTCTTGGTGTATCACATATTAAAGAACATATTGATTATGTGTTCAATTGGCTGTGGACGTTTTTGTAAATCAATCGGTGGATCTTCGGATTCAACATGTCTGTCTCGAAGTTCTTTCCAATTGTCTAATGTATTTGTGTATTCAAGATATTTCTCATTGTCTTCTAATTTAGCATATACATGTAAAAGTCCTCGATAATCGTATTCTAAACCACTGTAGCTTTTTCCAAATAACTTTAAACCTGTCAAAATAATTTGTGGAACTATTTGTATTGCCGTTTAAGCGCGAGCCATATAAGGATATTCATAACACATGTGTAACACTTACTGATTGCGATGCTACGGTAATAAAGTTGTTCGGCGTCTCTATATCGCTTCATATGAAAATTGTATAATGAAGCTAAATGCCCTATACTTAAACCCACTTCATAATCCTCTGGTCCTAATAAGTCTTCTTTTATTCGTATAGCTTTTAGATGCATCTCTTCTGCTTCCTAATTAACATTAAACGTTAAACAAGCTAGTGAAATGATTAAGCGCACACGTGCATCATGGATGCATACATTCAAATACTTTTCTATTATGTCTCGTTACCTGAAATTTTTTCATGCTCTGATATAACCGTCCTAAATTTCCGTAGTGTTTTGCCGTCTGTACATTTCTCTCGCCAAACGCAGTTCTTGCCAATTCCAAGGCGGATAAATGAAGAATTTCAGACTTATCTAACAATTGTTGTACAGGCATCGGAGCATTCGGAGCAGATGCTGAATCTATAGCTATCTCTTCAAGAATAAGGGCTTGGACTCTTTTAGCGCTCGCGAGCATTAAGTGATTTTGAGGTAACAGTTTCTCCATAATTTCTATAGCTGTTCCAGCATTTTGACTACCGAAACAAAATTAAATCAAATTTAACTCTCTGTTGAATGTGCAAACCAACACAGACGTATTTTTCAATAAAATTACCTTGCTTCAATAAATCTGCCAGAACTATATTCATATACATAGAGAGCATATGCTAAGTCTTCGTGTGCCAAAGCGACATGTAGATTAGTCTTTCCAAAAATTTCTTTCCTTATATCTAATGCAACCTGAATTTAAAACAATAAAATATATGTGTTTTCCATTTCTCGTAAATTATTATATGTGTGTGAAAAAGATTCTAAAACTAAAAAACAGATGTCTATTTAAAGTTAAATACCTTGTAAACGGATACGCTATTGATGATGCTATCATAATTCAGTAAGTAAAATCCATAATCGATAAGAACGTCACTGTATTTTGGATGATCTATATCAAATATTTCTCTCGTAAGATAAACAGCTTCTCTTATCAATAAACCGGCTTTCTGAAATTCACGTTTCACCACGCACGATTTTGCTGCTTGTCTTAAAACATCGATGATAACTCGCGCAGGAAGAGATGGTTTCAAATGACTTAACGCTTCTATACTCCACCTAGAGAAAAATAAATGAAAAAAAACAATATAAACGAGATTAATTTCACACTTGAATGTGTGAAATTTTTGATTAGAGTTTTGGTTGTAAGATAGAATCTTAAATAAAAGATTAAAAGTAGTCGCTTGTGTGGAAAAAATCCGATTTTGTATCCCGGACCGGACACCTGCGCTTTGAAAGTTTCCTGCATATAGTTGCGGAAGCGGTAATAAAACGTAGAGTCAGTGTCATTTCCGAATCGAATCTTTTTGTTTCTGAATAGTTTAAAACACAGATAGAAGATAAAACTCAAATACGTACCTGTAAGCTTCGTCGTATTCACTACGAATAAAGAATAGTACACTAAACTCTGCAAAGAGTGCAGCATGGTTGCAAGCACTATATTGTGTGTGTTTTAATTTATCTATCATTTCTATAGCAAGCCTATGAGTTTCTGCAGCTCCATCAAAAGCACAAAATGACGCTTGTGCATGTAACAGCCTAAAAAACAACATTAAAATGATAATGGTTTGCAATAATTGTTTATTCTTCTTTTATTCTTTTTTATTCTTCTTTTTTTGTGTGCGTGCGCACATCATCAGCTGATGATTGATTTGGCTATTAATATATGCCATTCTGCACATGCGAGCATCAATCAGTTGATAATGCGCACAAAAACGAAGTTTATGTTGCTGTATTAAAGACCGCATAATAGGAATTTCGTATTAAAAAAACAATAGTTACCTTTACTTATTAATTACATTTAAATAACATTTATAAACACAAAACACAGTTCTATCTTATCCTTTGTATGATTCACCAGCTTTGTTCTTTTTTGTTTTTTTGTATTTTATTTTTTTCTCTAGACATCGAAAATAAAACAAAAAAACGAATCTGTAATGTATGGTTTTGCTCTTACTTGTGACAACAATCCAAGGTTCTAAACCAATTCTCAGGAGTCTGATTGTTGGCAATACACAATTCCTTGCAAGCAAACAATACTTGTTCACTTTCTGCGTACCATCCTGCATCACTGAGAAATGCGCCAAGTCGGAGACCTAGATTTATAATTTTATCCTGTACGGCAGGATTCTCTCTTTCGTCTAAAGAATACATAACGTATTTGAAAGCCAAATTTTGTTCTACTTTTATTCCATGATTTATTGGAGCCTTTAAAAATACAAAAAAAGAATTATAAGAATTGTATATTATGCGTATCACAGAGATGACAGATAGATACATCTTTGATTTCAATAAAATGAAATCCGATATACCATTACCTGAAAAATTTGCAGGAGATGTATTCGACGATTGGTGACTTTGAGCATTTTGGAGAAAGTCTCTAAACAAGACAATTCCGATCCTAGCATACATATTTTCTTATCTTTGTATAACTGAAAAAATGAATTAGATTTATCTAAATTAAAATATTACATGGAAAAAAGAACAAGCGATTGTTCTGAATGCACAAATCGTTTGCTCATTGTTGATAAATTAATCACTTGTTGATAGATTAATCGATCAACAATACAATCACCTCAGAGAAATCGCACAAAAATTTGACAAAACTTCATGCACGATTTTATATTCTTGATAATGGAATTTTTGGAGCAAATATCGCTAATGTTTTTCATAATGAAAAACATTAAAAGTGACTAGACATGCGATCAAGAATATAAATGTCATTCTTGAGAAATTAAAAACAAAATATATTGTTCACTTAATGACAATACAGCTGAGCAATCGCTATCGTCCGGATGGTAGTTTATTATTTACCTGATAGTAGAGATCAAATCGTACGTTCTTGGGCAAGTCAGTGAGATGTAATTTATAATCACGGAATCTAGCAACTACAGCAGACACACACAATTCGTAAAGACTCTTTGTGGAAAACAACCGTAAGTTCGGATCGGCCATTTTCACGCAAGGTTTGCATGGGTTTGCGTAAACCACCAATACGATCTCAATAATTTAATCTGTTCACCTACGCGTATACATGTATATATAAAATATATATATATATACAGGGTGTCCCAGAATAGCCGTACAATCTCTCGTAGGCAGATAGAAGGAATAAAACTGAGTCGAAAAGTCCTGAACCATTTTTTTCTATTATTTATAATAAAGGAGTAATTATTGAGTAAAGCGGGCCAATNAGAAAAAAATGGTTCAGGACTTTTCGACTCAGTTTTATTCCTTCTATCTGCCTACGAGAGATTGTACGGCTATTCTGGGACACCCTGTATATATACATATATATATATATATATATATGAATGTTTAAATGCAAAATTCTAGGAAGTTTTTAAAGCGCAAAGGTGTCTACCTTAGTTCAGTCTTTGCGTTCCGAATGATCATAAAACCACGTGGATAATCGATCATGTACTAACTTCACGTGAAACCTTTCCCTTTCCACTGTTGTTCAGTTTATTTAAACTACATTTGTTGCACAATGTATATCTGATCTGCAAATTTGTGAAAAATAAAAGTTACTAACAAATTCAAATAAAGCAAAATAATGGTTTGGTGCGAATATGGCTTGGTGGACTCCGAGTTAGACCCGCTACTCTAAGGTCTTGTTTATGCGAATAAAATCTGTCAAATTATGCCGGAATCGGTAAAGTTCAATTGTAAGATTTTAATACTTCCGTCTATACGCATTTGGCAATTTTTTTACAAACGGAAGCATTAAAATCCAAAGATGCCAGATCACGCATGACACCATCAAGAGTATCGAAGCGGAGTGTTCCTACCTCCTCGAAGCTCTCATACACAAGAGCAGTGTTTCAGTTTTGGCTCTTACAGCGTGCTTGAGCATGCTGAAGCAGTGGAAGGGATGTGTATAACAGCAGCAAGTTTACGCAGAGCTGCATCCAAATCCAAGTGCATCATATTGCACCCACTCCAAGGTTTGGTGCATATATGGACCGATTCAAGTTAGTCCATACGTCATTCTAAGCTCGCACGGCTCCAAGCTGCTCCAAGCATAGCGTACAAGAAATAGACTGCTTGTGTGAGAGGGGAAGTGAGTCAGACCCATAGAGCTTTTATACTCATGGAGAGGCCCTGCCTATATGCTAACCATAGAGAGGACTCCGCTGGGAGGATCGACAAAGAGAGATATATTTCAATATATTTTATCTCAACTGTGGCTCTCCCACTCCGTGTTCTCTGTTATTCTCTTCTATAAGAAGTGGCCACAGTTGAAACAGAAAAATATATCCCTCTTTGTCGATCCTCCTTTGCGGTCGCAGGGCCTCTCCATGAGTATAAGCTCTATAGTCAAACTTCAGAGCGGGACAGATGCTTTCACTCTTGTCTCTGTCTCTATTTTTCAACATCTGGAGTGGGAATTCCTCATTCGAGTTGTCACTCGAGAGACAACTCGGATAACGCTACAATTGGCCACTATCACCCCCACTACGCTATTTCTCATTCCTACTACGTTTCTTGTCCGCCAATCACCGCGTCACTAAACAAGAATAGAGACACGAGTGAAAGCATCTATCTTTGTCTGAGGTTTCCACAGAGAAAATAGGAAACGCGCAGTCTATTTCTGACATATCTATGCTCCAAGAAAAATATATCTTGGAAATTGGAGAGGGAGTGGAGAGAGACTTCTGGTAAACGAGATCCACTTTACAGTACTGACTCTGTACACTTCTTGAACCAGTGTAGCCAGCAGTGCTGGTAAGTGTTGGCTAGTGCGGAAGAGAAGAACAAACTTCACAAGTCTAGTTGTATATGAATTCTATCTCATGACTCATGCAATATATCACTGTTAATTGTTCATTAATATTCTACATTTGTAATGTTTTCTAACAACAACTATAGGAGGTAATGTCCCAAATTGTAGTCAATCGCAAATCTCACCTGTACAGAATAAAAAAATATCGGTGAAAATGTGGAAGCACTTTCTACTGTTTATTGTCATAAATTCAGGTAAGTGTGATGACAATCAGTCTTTTATTTATTATTCAGTTACAATTTTCTCAGAAGCAATCAGTTAAAAAAAGAAAAAAATGCTAACTTGCAGTGGCCACTGATAGAATAAAGGATATGATTTACATGCCTTTGGAGGGTGTAGCTGCTTGTTTTCGAAGACACAATGGCACACATCAGTTTGGATGTTCTTGTAAGAAAGTTACTCTCTCATCCTGTTATATGTTATTTTTACAATCATTATACTTTGCGGTTATACAATGTAAACTATTTTTAACCTATTTTATGTGTGTTTCTCACATATGTTTTTTACAGCAAGTAGATCTGGAAGTATAGGTGTCGTGCATTTGATAGAAACAGATGATGATATTACTTGGATAGAAAGAAATGGCACCGCCGGTCCGTATACTGCGGTCCTTCCCTTCTCGATGTTTACTAGAAACAGGCTTGTGCGACTACGAGATACAAATAACATCAGTGGAGTTTTGCTGACAAGAAATATCAGTGAGGAACGTCCACATGAGTATTCACCCGAAGATCAATGTCCAAATAGATATTCCGGTCTCAAGAAATGCACCAGCAAGAAACCATGGAATCCTTTTGGTTCGGCACTGCTCATGGAAGATTGGCCGTTTCCCATGTTTTATACAGAGGTTAGATTTACGCCATTATGTAGAACCTTATTGAGTGTGAAGTATTTTGTACAAAAGACACATTGTGCGCATCAGATACTGACAAAATTCGTATTTCTAGAATCAAACTGTACTGGAAGCTGTAAAATCTTGCTTTAAGACACACAACGCTCACGATTTTGAGACACAGGCTCAGAGATCTCTTTGTGCAATAGAAATGAAATCGTTTATGTACGCCGCGGTGAACTCGGAGTCTTGTATAAAACGTAGCGATAACAAAATAAACTTTCATCCGACGCAGTTTTGCGATCCGCTTGGAGATCGAAACATACATTGGCCTTTGGCGCCTCTCGACGAGAACAGCACGGTGATAATGGTAATGGCGCGACTAGACGCGTCATCATTATTTGACAGTTTATCACCTGGTGCGAATAATGTCGTAACGGGATTAGTCACGTTACTTGCCACTGCGTATTATCTTAATCTTTTAAATCCCAATGTCGACAGTGAGTATTAATTCTTTCTCGATAAATCTGTAAAGATATATTATCAAATCTTGTGACACGAACGATGTATTTATACACATTCCTCTCTTTTATTGTATCCAGAAACAAATGTCGTATTCTCGTTGCTGAATGGAGAAGCATTTGATTACATAGGATCCAGTCGTATGATATACGACATGAAACAAAATCATTTTGACGCTCTCGGACTCAACATGAAATTCGACGATATCAAAAGCATAATCGAGTTCGGCCAATTGGGCAAAGGAAAGATCGTTCTTCACAGTAACGGTGAGGATCCTATAATAGATCGATTGCAGAATGCGCTTGATGCAAATATCTCGAATAGTATTCCGCCTACATCCGCGCAGAGTTTTCTCAACGCAAAACCGAGTCTGACAACCGTCGTAATAACCAATCACGGAGAACAGTTTGAGAATCGATATTATAACAGTATCCTGGACGACGCGGAGAGTCTTGGCTTTGATAGGTATGTGATAAAGTAGCTTTCTTAGATGTGTTAATTTACATTTCGTGTATTATGCATTTATTGAGATTTTTGCATATTATGTTTTAGTAACGATACTAGCACGCTTGCATCAGGTGTAGCAAAAATTGCTCTTCAGGTTGTTAATGAGCTTTACCAAGCGGTGACGGACAAACAGGCACCGCAACTCGACGATTTGCCAATATCGTTGGAAAAGCTCATCACCGAAATGCTACATTGCTATCTGGAGAGTGCCAAATGTCCATTGTTTCGCGCTGCTTCAGCACCTGGTACCAAACTAATTAATCAAGTTTTGCCGCTATATGTCGGCGTGCATAGGGCGGCTAATGTCGCGACGACTCTAACGGGTCAGCTCTTGGCTCTGTTAACCGGCGAGATTTTGCTCGAAATGAACGAGACGGCATGCCACGAGAATCGTCTCGGTTGGTTGGCCGGATACAATTTCACTGGAGTATGTGTAAACTCGAGTGCCAATTATAGCACGGCCGTTAGTCCAGCATTTATTATTGAAGGTAGGTCCATTAAGTATATCCCATTAAGTACCTCGGATTATCATAATGAATGGTGTCGTAGGATATGACATGAAGTCGGGCATTTTCTCAACCTGGACGGAATCGATATGGCAATCGTTAGCTGTTAGAATGTTTCTCAAACCGTCAGCAGCGACAGAACGCTTCAGTATGATTCTGGGCAGTATGGTCGCCGCAAGTTCCTTCCTGGTAGTGTGGTCGATTAACAAACGAGCTAGTGTATTATTTAATTCCAGGTTCGTATTAATCCATATAAAAAAAAAAAACGAAAAATACAAAAGTACACACGCACGTGTGTGATTGTATACATACACATGCACATAGTGAAACATGTTAATGTCTCACGTTTTATGTATAGAGTGATCTCCGTCACTCATCAATAACACTTTGTTTCAGAACTGTTGATTGCTAGGAATACGCCGCGGACCACATATCAATGACTAGGTTAGACTGTCATCGTGAAAATCGAGATGTTCCAATAACTAGCCTTTAAACCATGTGTGGTGCGCCCTCGGACGATTTTCTTCATATTACAATTTAAGTAAAATATTCATGTTATTATCATGATTATTTTATTTATCGTCATCCTTTCCATTGTGTATGCGTTGTTCAGATGAAAACTGACGACTTTTTAATTTTTCTTAAGTTCCAGATAACAAAAAAAAAATTCTTTTATGCTTACGAATTGTTAAGATATCACCTCTTTCATATTGTGTAATTGTATAGAACCTTGTATCTATTATTTATGAAGCTTATATATGAGAAAAGACATTATAAAGAGAGTACATGTGAAGAGATAAAATAATGTTGTGAGAGAGTGTGAATACACTCGCAAGTGTGCATATATTGTATTGTGGTGTGTGTGTGTGTGTAAAGAGAGTTTAATTTTTTCTAAATATAATAAATAAAAAAAGATAAAATGATTTTTCATTTGGTTTTTTAACTTATTATTACAATTTAAGTTGATTATTTTCTTGAATAATTTTTACTTTATATACAGCAGTGTATTTCTCTCTTCTTAATAAAACTATAGAATAGATACGATACAGAAATGTATAAACACACAGTATTAATAACAATGTATCTTATACATATATATATATATACATATATATATATTTATTTATATATATTTATATATATATATATATATATATATATGACTGCAATAAAAATAAAAAGAAAGTAATGCAAGCGTGATGGCGTTTATTATCGTTAAACAACGTATTTAACAGGGCTTTGATGTACACGGGAAAGAAGTATTTTTACTTTATATATCTACGCTTCCCCTTTTTTTTTTATGCATTAAGTATATAATATTTCATTTACGATTTTTAAAATTTGGACGAAGATAGAAACGGGCCATTCTTGATTTTCTTTACTTGAAAGTATACACGTGTATGTACATAAATAAGATGATACATAATTGTAATTGTAGAATAATTATTACAAGTATTTTATAATTTATAATTAAACAACGTATTTAACAGGGCTTTGATGTACACGGGAAAGAAGTATTTTTACTTTATATATCTACGCTTCCCCTTTTTTTTTTATGCATTAAGNTATAAATAATAATTATAATAATTGTAAAATTAATCTGCATTTTGTGTCATGTACTTTATACTAAAGTATTTTGATTTTGTGAAAATCTAATAGAAATCGTGTACTATTTATAGAATGTAAAATACATTGATGTTACGTATCAAAAAATATTCATTTATAAAGTTTTTCACACAAAATTTATCTCGTCATATTTGTTGATGTAACAATTCGTGGTGAAAAATTCTTTATTTTGACCCGTTTCTATCTTTTTTTGTTATGATTTTGTTTTAATCTATTATATCTTTTCGATAAATAATTTTCGTATCGAAATATTAATGCGATAAACGTTTACATTTCCTATCATATAAAGTTTTTTTTTTTTCCATATGCACGCGTTGTAATAGCTTTTATACGGACAATCATGCCAAAAAAAAAAAACACAAGAAAAAAATAATCACAAGTCTAGCGAAAATACGACATGCACATACGCGCGGTTCTGTTTTGTTTTGTTTGTTTGTTTTTAACTTTATAATCTACGTGCATACGGATGCAAATCATTTCACAAACGCACGTCCCGACACACGTACAACCTCTTCGGTAATTGTTTATGTTTTTTGTTTCTTCAACTAAGTTTTAGTGTAAGAATGAAGTAGGAGGCTGGGCACCGCCCACCGAATTATCACAGTCGTTTGGTGCCGCAGCACATACGTATACGTGGTTCAGCCTTACAACCTACCTCTTAATCTCTAACGTTATATTTCTCTTAAGTTTATTATATAAATTTTTTTTTTTTCAAATACAGTATAGTCCCGTACGAGGCGGTTTGTTCAAAATAATAAACAATATTCGTCATGATTTATAAAGATTTGCGCGATTATTGCTCTTTAGATAAATGAATTGCTCGTTCACACGATCATTGACGATAACATACTTTTCATTTTGCACATCCCATCCCTATTTTATGAGTCACGCAACAATAAAAAAAACACTATAAATTATATATATATTTGTTTCTTTTTTTCATCTTTTGTTAGTTTTTGTTGTTTTGAAAATTGTTGTTAAATTTTAAAGCAACTGACGATCGCGGTGATCTTATACGGAGCTATACTGTCAGCTGTCTGCAATTGATAATATCGTTTTACTTCTAGAGTCGTGTGAATCTAAATATCGCATTATATCAATTTATATTCATAGCCAAATTTTTATTGCGAAGAAATAAAGTGATACAACACGCTTGAAAGAAGAACACGTGTAATAACTACTTTTGTTTATTTGAGCTGAACAAGCTACTAATGGAAGCACTGTCAATTGGCTATATACATTGAAAAACTCAATATGAGAGAAGACAAATATAAGTACAAGAAAATTAAAAGTATTTGGCTTAATTTAAGACAACAACCACGTCTCAACTGGGTGCACTGTATGACACATTTTTTTTTTTTTTTTTCTATGATCGAGTGACTAGTGTCAGTTCGATTAATGACAACTGATCCCGTGACGTAAAAAAAAAAAAGTGACGATAATAATATATTGGTGCACGTAAGATTAAGGATGAATCCAAAACACGCAACAATTCCACGTTCCACAACTGTCTGTCTTAACTTAAATAAGATGAAGATAATTGCATCTCTCAATAAGCGTTGGCTCCAACACAGATCGTCTAAGTTTTCGCTACTATTATTTTACATCAAATCTGACACCGTAGTAGAAAGATTAAAATAGTTGCGAACATTTAAAATCTTGATGGACGGATCAACGTGGAAATGACAGATCGGGGGAAAAGCGTAAATACATATGTGCGCATGTGCATCAGGAAGAACGTTATATGTACACGAGTAGTTATACATTAGCGAGAAGAGTCAGCGCGAGTCCGTTATAAGTATAGATAATATTAACATGCGATAAACTTGCAACAAGAGTTCAAAGACGTTTTTCAAATTAAAAGTTACACAAAAAAGAAAGCTCTTCTATCCGTTAACAAGTAGTAAAACGTAATAATCATGTGTAGACAGCTAATGCAGTAATATTCGGAAGTAGCACGTGTAGTAGTCGTAACATTCAGTTTCCTTTCTTCACTTACAAAGAAAAGCATTAACTTTTCTGCTTTATATATATTTAGTAATATTTTTTTTTTTTTTTTTCATCATCTGTCACATACACGCACGCACACAGTTCTGTAATATGTACAGTAGTATCATTGTATAACGTGTACACAGTAAACACGCTTACACACTCTAACGACACTTAGAGTTTAAAAATATAATCATATGTTTAAAGTAGTATTATATATCATCATTGTGTTATGTGTTGTTGTTGTTTTGTTGTTGTTGTTGCTTCTGCTGCTGCTGTTTTTATTGTTATTACTATTTATTATCTCGTCATTATTATATATTTATTATTTTATTATCAATAAATGTGTATGATAATTATCGTATTAATTTTTATCATTATTATTATCTTGGAGGGACAGCACTATGTCACGACACTGCAGAGCTGAACAAAGACTAAACGCGGAAGTTACCACGCTCTGTAATGGCACGAAAAGTTTTGTATGCTATGAACTGTGTTTTTTTTTCTTTTCTCATTCACTTTCGAACTTAAGTAATTATGTATATATTATATATATATACATATCCTTATATTTATCACGTAGTACGTTCTAATCAAATGTAACTTTAAATTAAGTTTCATTAAAATAGTAGCAGTAAGTCACTATTTCCATTGTCCGTATTGTGCCGTCGTGCACAAAAAAAAAAAAAAAAAA